TGATCTAAACGACTCGCACAGTTTTAATTTGGCTGCATTTACACTGCATGGTTCAAGTGACACAAATTCCATTTTTTTCTCCCATGTGGCACAGATCGAATATGGCTAAATGGACAAAAAATAAATAAATAAATAAAAATAAATAAAATGGAAAATCACATGGATTCCGATTTACTTAAATCAGATTGAGGCCTTGTTCATATGTGGAAATTTATCTGATATGAATCGGATCTGTGCCCCTGTGTCTGTAGTGTAAGCAGGTATTGGATTTTCACCTGTCAATGCAAGTCGCGCATCATTAAAAACTGTAGCGGATGACATCAAGTGAGACACTTTCATTTCAGAACAGACTTCAGCTGTCCCAAACCTTAAATCTTATACACGAGTACTAAAGCTTTTATATAATCATGTAGCACATGTGTTTAAACATGTAAACGAGAGAGAGAGAGAGAGAGCCTGTTATGTCCACTACGTAAACAATATAGGCTAAACTAAAAACACCTCATACATTACATTGCATACATATAACACTATGGAAATGACATTAAGATGCCTATTGGTTTGAAAAAAAAGGTAAAAAAAAAAAGGTAATAACTATAGTGAAACAACTTTGTAGTGAAACAACTAAATTGTTTTAAAATTAAACCCTGTGAACGGATACAGAAATGGAGAAAAAAAGCGTTATTATTATTAGCTGTCAGTCAGCGCCTGCTCCTTTTTTCCAGATCATTGCGCCTTTGCAATGTGCTGTGTGAATGCAGTCAATCGGATACGAGTCATGCTTAAAAGATGATTTAATTGGGTCATCAAAAAAATAAATAAAAAAACGGATGCAGTTACAAAATTGGAATTGACCATCAAGATCTGCAGTGTAAATGCAGTCTTTGACATGTTCTCGAGCGAGAATGACATCGACTGAAACTTTCTCTCTTACACCAAACTCACCAAAAGGGTACCAGGATACCTTTTGGTAGTGGAAACGCAAGCGTGATAAAGATGACCCATACTGTACCACTCAGTTGAAATGGCTCATTAGTGCTTCAGAAGTGTTATTGCCAGAGCAGCACAAACAGAATGCAATAATATAGATGGCACAACGGCTGCGGCTACAATATCAGAGTACCCGCAGGGTCTTAAAAGCATTGAAAGTCCTAAATTTGATCATCTCAAATTAAGGCCTTAATGGCCTTAAATTTGGCATACAAAGTCTTGGATCAGTGCTGCCAGATTGGAAATGTCAAAGTATCGTACCAGAACCTCAAATTATCGTATTTGGAGGAAAATTATCGTACACGAGTCAAACTGAGAGTATACAGCTATTATCTAGACACATAGCGTTTTGACACAACGTGCAAATTACCACAACACGTTTAAAAAAACTAGGTACCTTAGTGGGAAGGTTCAAACTCCACCTCTGAGTTGCTGTCATTGAATGTTGCCAGATGTTAAGGGATTTATTTTTCCGTACAAATTGGATGCCGTAATGGACTGCAAAATAGTGCTGGTTGGCTTGAAAGCAGTGCACACTTTGAGGTGTGCATGCTTTGTTTTGATGAGACTAACTTTGAAAAAAACGCATTTGAATGGGGAAAAACGAGAACATCAAGGGAAAACTCTTGTCCTTCTCACCTTCCTTTACAGCTCGAATTGTTTTAACATTATTGCTTAAAAGATCGACCTCAAACTGAAAACTACTGACCTAACCACAGGCACGCGCAGCAGGAGTGTTAACTCGTGAGAGAAAGCCATTCTCTACGTTGATTGGCTGAGAAGAGGCAACGTAAGATGAGATAGAAAACGTGCCTAACTCCACCTACTCCTCACAGACAGTACAGAAAAGATGCAGGTAGATCAATAAGTAAAGAAGCCTGAAGATTACAATGAAGTTACTTTTAAATGCCATAAAATTCTGAAATTATCGTACATTATAGGATTTTTCTCATTATTGATCGTACATCGTACAGAGGTCGAAATTATCGTACAAATATATCGTACAAGTACGATAATTATCGTACGTCTGGCAACACCGTCTTGGATTTTGTTACAAAGGTCTTATTTTATTCATTTATTTTGTCTTTCCTAGGATTAAGTTCATATTGTAAAGAAATTAACTATTACTAATGTAGGCTAATTTTAAATTACTGCAGCGCAACTTTGAATAAACCTCATGCTCCACGTCATAGCAGAAAGCACGAAAGCGTGTGCACCCGTTTTTGTAGTTACAAGACAAGTGACGTAAAGAACAAGATAGTTGCTCGCCTAGTTTGTCGGTTAAAATGGGAAAATGTCAGTTTAATTCGCTGTGAGCAAGGAATCCAAATTACGCCAGGAAATGACTGCAGCAGTTGGTGGTGGAAATCTTTTAAGCTAGCGATGATGGGTGTTACAGCCCTGGACTCCCATAAGAGGGGTGCCGAAAACAACGCATGTAGTACTGCTCGTCAACGCCAACCACCTATTTGTGCAGTTCTGTGCACCAAAGACCTCTTCGGTTACTAAAACAGCGTTGGCTATCAGTAATGATGAAATTTCTACATTGGAAGCATTGCCACCACAGCTAAGGAACATCATATCTTACTGTATGTGGCTCATCACCAACTCAGGACAGAGGTCATGTGGGACCTTAAAACAATCTCTGAGCACCACTCTTACACATCGAATGAGAGCATTACAGAAGTTTTCAAAACCATGTTTCCTGAATCCAAGTTTGCAGCTACATTCTTGTGTGAAGGTATCAAAACTGCATATGTTACTAAATTCTGATTGGCTCCTTTTATAACTAACTAACTGACTGACCAGGTCATTAAGGCCAACGGGTTTGTGGTCATGTTGTCTCAATAGGATGACGAAAAGCAATCAGGTGGACCATATTGGCTACAGGTTGGATGACCACGCTGTTGCGTATGTAATAAATATAACTGATAATTAAAATAAAATGTTTTATTTAATTCAAGTAGCCCACTTATACATAATTATTTTCGAGGGTTCAAATAGTATACCGATTTGACATTTTTCCCTCAAACTTCTGTTGGAATGGACACGAAGTTATCATTTAATTTCATTTGAAATGGTATTTAGAAGTTCTTTAAAACCTTGAATTTCATTTGGAGGATCCCAGGGGCACCCTGGATATACAATGTAGAGTTCGGCTTCAATCATTCAGGTTTTAAGTTCAAGTGGATTTCATTGCATTAAGCGAGAGCACTTCTCTTTATTTTCTTCCAAAAAAAATAAATAAATAAATTGTAATGATGCAAGCTTGCTCGGGCTCGAAAGTACAATGTAAGAGCAGGTCAGTGTGAAGGGGGAAATAGCACCTGTGCTCGGTTCAAGGTGCTTAACTTTGACTAGGTGGAGAGGTCCAAGTCATAAACAGGGTTTCACTTGTGAAACCAAGAAAGAATCATATAAAAAAAAAAAAAAAAAAAAATTCGCACCCAAACTCTTGATTCCATGATGTCGATTCCAATGGTGCAGTTCTGGTTAGTCTCGCATCAACCCACTATGTTGCCACTGAGGATTGCTGCCCCCAATATGTACCTGTCTGGCTCTCAGGGAAGGTTTCTAAAACCAGGATAGCTTGGTCAGGAAAATTACAAAAATGCTTTAAAATACACATGCCTTCATGTGTACAGTTGAAGTCAGAATTATTAGAATTATTTTGCTCTATTTATCCAATATGAGTCCATATGTCTGAAATATCCTGAAGCAGCTATACTGTTTTGTACTGTCACGTAGCGTGAGATTCCCGTTTTTTTTTTAAGATAAATATATATAACGTTAATGCACATCAGTAACTCGCCAGTAGCTTATTTAATGCATGTTCCTGTAAGAGAACATTGTAATTAATTGGAAATCCAGCGACCGCAATCATCAAAACCTTAGGAACAACTGTGATCAGAACCAAAGTTCACAGGTCTGTGTTCTCTGAACTCCTATCAGAGGTGGACGTGGTCATTCTGATTGCTTGCCGCCGAACCGCGTCATAGCTCATTACCATAAAGTTGACTTGATTTCCACTCCCCTCGACGCCCACGCCGGTGAAGACGCGCCACGCTGCTCCTAACCACTGGCTCTCATTGAAAATGAATGACTTCCGGCTACTTTGACGCTCTCGCCGCTTTTCGTGTGAATGTACGGTAAGAACAGAAAACTGAGGCTACAATTCACACAGGCAATAGAAGATTGGAGAAATGTTGACTGGTCTAATGAGTCTAGATCTCTGATTAAATTTCTAATAACTGATTTATTTCATCTTTGCCATGATGACAGTCCATAATATTTGACTAGATATTTTTTAAGACACTTCTATAAAGCTTAGTGACATTTTAAGGCTTAACTAGGTTAAATAGTTTAACTAAGCATGTTAGGGTAATTAGGCAAGTTATTTGTTTAACGATGGTTTGTTCTGTTGACCAGGGGTGGGCAACCCTGTTCCTGGAGAGCCACCTTCCTGCAGATTTCAGTTGCAACCCATATCAAACACACCTGCCTTTAATTATCACGTGGTGTTCAGGTCCTAATTAATTGGTTCAGGTGTGTTTGATATGAGTAGCAACTGAAATCTGCAGGAAGGTGGCTCTCCAGGAACAGGGTTGGCCCCCCTGCTGTAGACTATCGAAAAAATATAGCTTAAAGGGACGAATAAAAAAATTGACCTTAAAATGGTTTTTAAAACATATTTTTTTTTTATTATTCTAGCTGAAGTAACAAATAAGACTTTCCAGAAGAAAAGAAAAAAAAAATATCAGACATACTGTGAAAATTTCCTTGCCCTGTTAAAGAATTTGGGAAAAAAAAAAAAAAAGAAACAAAAATTCAAAGGGGGACTAATAATTCTGACCTCAACTGATGGACTCGTTGTACATTTGAGCTTTAGTTGACAATTCAAGATAGGAGTAGTTCTGCAAGGTTACAATTTCAACAGATCTTGCAAGCAACCCACTACAAGCAGATTCACAGCTTTACCAAATGTTTCAAACAGACACAAGTAAACGATGAAGGCTTTAAGCTTCTTTTATTGATAAAGAATAAATGAAGTCACCTTCAAAAGTAGTCAAACCAATGACATAAAACCAGCCCACTCCAAATAAATCTGCAGTAGGCAAGGACATTATATGAATCCCTTTTACAGAAAAAAAGTGAATTTTCCTTTACACACGAATAAATGTTCACATAAGTGCACAGACTAACGTAACGGAGACAAACTACTATTAGTATGACACAATCACAAAAAGAAAACATACAATATTTACACATAAATAGAAAGATTTACATAAACTGATTCTAGAGAATAAATATGGAAAGCTGACTGCAACGACTCTTTTGACTTTTAGAAACCTCTGCCCCTGAATCAACAATAAAAATCAATTCTAAAAGTATGCAGTGTTGCGCTATAAACCTTACTGTGGCAGCTTAAATGCAACGGCCAGATGTCTGTAGCTTTATAAAAGCTGAAAACTAGATTAGTTTAGATTAAGCCTACCTTATAAAACACGAGGAAGTAATACATTCAGTGGTTAATAATCGTGTGAAAACTCTACCATCTAATAAAATCAGAACATGTCAGTTATAAATGTCTCTCCATGTTAATTAAATTCGCCCAGACGTGGACATCAACACAAGCCGTCCTTCATTTGGTGGGTCCTAGACCTGTAAATTAAACCCGGATGGGGGGGTGGCTTGGGCTAGAGGCGCCGGGCGGACGTGGTACCATAGTGTGCCAATTAATTATAATACTGTAGAGTGCAGAAGGCAAAGTTCAGATCAGGTGAGTAGTGGATCGACTGAAGGTGTGGTACTTTCTCTCAAAGGCAGAGGAGAGGTTGATCATGGATGGGGAATGAACAGTCTGGAAAAAGAAAAGAAAATGCAATATAGCGATGAAAGGACAGTTGTAGGGTTGTCTAGGTCATTTCCCTTTCATCATGTAATTAGTTTAAGACTCAAGAGTGCCGGATTGCATGTTATAGACGTGTTAACCTTTGGCGCATTTTCATACCCAGAAGACCCTGTTAAACATTCAATGTAGAGTTGAAGAGTTGGTAAAGCTGAAAGGCTCTTTTATTTCTTTAAAGTATTTATACTGCAGACTAGGAGTGGGCGGTAGAAAAAAAAATTATATCCCATTATCATTATAGAAATGATATACATAAACGTTTTAAAGTAACACAAAAAAATTTATACATCACCCATTTCCTAAAGTCTATGCTGGATAGTCCAGCTAACTTAATTATGCATGAATCAAATACACTTTGTTAGTTTGTATCTAAATAGCAAATAGAACTAATTATTCATAAAAACACACACACACACACACACACACACACACACACACACACACACACACACACACACATATATATATATATATATATATATATATATATATTACACGACATATTTATGAAAACATTTCACTTTATTTAACAAAATGCATTTTAAATCAAAAGATTTTTTTTTCAAACTATACTTGAAACAGCATTAAAATATAGGTGAAAAATATGGGTTCATCATTCAGTGTAAAAGTTAAAGAAAACTATTCTGTTCATCAAGGCGGCATTTATTAAATGTTACAAAAAATGGTTAAATATTTATTAAAATGTTCAAATAACTGATTTTTTTTGTATGTAGTTTCAAATAAAATTATTACTCCAGTCATCCTTACTTTTATTACTATTACCATTAATAACAATTAATAATAATAATAATAACAACAACAATAACAACAAAAATAGTATCCAGTTGGACCGATTGAACTGGAAAAAAAAACAAATGTAATTATTTCTTAACCACATTTTTAAATGTGTCAAAACAAGAAAACTCGAGTTGTATAGACTTTTTTTTCCCAACATTGTATTTTTTTATTTTTTATTTTTTATGACACTACACGAATGATCCAAAAACATATTTGTTTGCTTTTGGTCCAAACAAATTGAGTTTAACTCCAATTCAGCCTAATGCATTTCTGTTATAAAACCTAAAATTTCATGCCTATTTTTAATTATTATGTCCACACTTTCTTCTGTAAATAGTTTTTTGTGTAAACTGAAGATTATGTAAAGGGATATAATGCTGTAATTATCATGTGGAATTGTGTAATTGTTTTTAAGTTTTCTTTTCCTGATTGGGGATTTTAATTTGAAAAAATTAAAAAAAAAAATGCTGTAAAATGTCCAACAGCTGCAGTGAAATAAACATCCCTTTGCAATAAAAAAATGTATATATATTTTTAAGTAGATTGTTGGCGATTGGATGAGTTTAGCCCGATAGGGTAACATTACTTCGACAATTTTTAAAATTAAGACCCTTTTAAAATGATTTGAGACCTACAACACGATATTTCTGTGAATTTAAGACTTTAAGGCCTAAAATTTTGCTTTTAAAATTTAAGACATTTTAAGACCCCGCAGACACCCTGGAGAGAGAAAGGGAGATGCATGAAATAAGCACCAATCAGAATAACAATAAATTATTAATTAAAAACTCTGCAAAGCTATAAAGACTTCTAATTAATTTGAGGCTAAACTGTGAATCTTAAATAGGGTTTTGTTAGGCGTTAAAATTATTCTTGTTCTTAATGTTCAACAATTTTTGTTGTTGTATATAAACTACTGTAACATCGAATTTCTGTACACCACACTGTAAAAAAATAAACAATAATAAAATCAGTTATTATAATTTTTTTTCCAGCAACTGGGTGCAAAGAAAAAAAGTCAAATAACGGCTCTTAAATTACCAACATTTACCGTAAAATATTGTTGTTAAATTACAGACATTTACCATAAAATAATGTTGTAACAGACATTTACCGTAAAATAATGTTAAATTACAGACATTTACTGTAAAATTAATGTTGTTAAATTACAGACATTTACCATAAAATAATGTTGTTACAGACATTTACCGTAAAATAATGTTAAATTACAGACATTTACTGTAAAAATAATGTTGTTAAATTACAGACATTTACCGTAAAATAATGTTGTTACAGACATTTACCGTAAAATAATGTTAAATTACAGACATTTACTGTAAAATTAATGTTGTTAAATTACAGACATTTACTGTAAAATAAGACATTTTTTGTAAAATTAATGTTAAATTACAGACATTTACCATAAAATGTTAAATTACAGACATTTACCGTAAAATAATGTAAAATTACAGACATTTACTGTAATGTTTTTAAATTATAGACATTTACCGTAAAATAACGTTAAATTACAGACATTTACTGTAAAATAACGGAGGTTAAATTACAGAAATTTTGTTAAATTCAAGTTTTCCGGTAAATTTCTTTAATTTACCATCTGTTATTTATTAATTTATTATTATTATTATTTTTTTACGTAAAATGTCTAATTCAACGGTTCAATGGCTGTTATTTTACTTTTTAGTAGCCCCAGCACCCCAGCTGCCAGAAAAAAACGTTTTTTATTCACGGTGCATTGTAAAAATGTATCGGTTTAAGAATAATAGCAGTATATAAAATTAACAGGACATGTGCAGGGTATAAAAGAAATATGCTTTTTTTTTTAGGCTAAATGGTATTTTAGTAAATTGTTACAGGATTGCATTTTAGATTTAAATTTCTGTAAATCCCAGTTAAAAAAAATAATAAAAATCAATGTTTACATAAGTGGTTTGTTTTATTAAAAATGTGTTTATAATTTTTCAGTATAATTTGTTTTATTTTTAATAAACCTGTTATCATATTGCAAGTGCATTCATAATCTTTTTTTAGTTCCGTCAAAATATTTTAATGACAGCTTAATGCACAGCTCCGCTACAATCACAATGCACATTTGCATCGAGTCTTCATTATCAAAGAACATTTTAATCAGTAATTTGTTAATATGATTAAACGAGTGCATTACAATACATTCGTCACACCACCCAGCACCACTGAAGCTCACAAACTACATCTCATCTGCATGCATCATTTGAACAAATGAAAGTGTTCAGCCTTCTAGCAGATGCCCGAGGTTCACGGGTTTCAGTGAGTTTATTCAAGAAGCTCGAGAAGGGGAAAGGGGAGAAATCCATGTTAATGATATTGACTTTATAAACCTACTGTGGTAAAAACACACACACAGTTGACCCTTGTTAAGTGTTCACCCTTCAGAATTGACAGTGAACAACCTGCATATAAAGAATAATAATGTATTCTTCCCTTTAATAAGAGACTTGAGGGTGAATAGGAGGTTAAGCAAACCACAAACACCATTTATTTTGCTTTACTTTTTAAATGTAACAAGCCCAGGCTGCTTTCACACAGCACACAAATAATCCCATTACTTAACATTGCTTAATAAGAATTAAGGTGGCCTTGCATTGCCATTGGAGGCTTGGGAATCAATAAAGGTGGCCGATGGCAATGAGGGAAGGGGGGGAGGCATTTGATGAATTGCCTCGAGTGTGCTGAACGAAACATTAAAATACGCACACACTTTTGTATACAGATGATGCTTTATGGGATCAAATTAGAAATGGGAGGAGATTAAATCACAGTTATCAGCCAGTTTACAACCCTGACGCCCACAGATCAAGTTGATGTGATCTCGTAATTATAACAGTAAAAACACACACTAAAAATAAATAAAATAAAAAAATAAACACTGTACACCACAGTAACAATTACATCTTTATATAAGAACAGTCATTATAGTGAGAATCATGGTGCTACAAAAATAGTCCCTTATTCCAACAAATGATCTGAGGTCTGTGGTAAATGGATACTTTATCAAAAATTTGAATAGCTGCAATGTCATGAAGTCTGCTTTGTCGTGTTGCCTCACATTTTTTTTAAACAAGTTTTAGCACAACTTCAAGGCAGTGAAAATCCCATTTGTTGAATGAAATTCTTGCCTTCATAAATTTATTTTTATACTACAACTATTTTTAATAATAATAATAATAATAAATCGTTACATTTATATAGCACTTTTCTGGGCACTCAAAGCGCTTTACACAATGGGGGGGGGGGGGGGGGGGGGGGGTCTCCTCATCCACCACCAGTGTGCAGCATCCACCTGGATGACGCAACGGCAGCCATTTTGCGCCAGACCGCACACCACACACCAGCTGATTGGTGGAGAGGAGACAGAGTGATGATATGCCAATCATGATATGGGGAGGGTTAGGAGGCCATGATGGACAGAGGCCAATGGGCAGATTTGGCCAGGATGCCGGGGTTAAACCCCTACTCTTTTTCGAAGGACATCCTGGGATTTTTAACGACCACAGAGAGTCGGGACCTCGGTTTAACGTCTCATCCGAAAGACGGCGCTCACTGAGCAGTATAGAGTCCCCGTCACTATACTGGGGCATTAGGACCCACACAGACCGCAGGTTGGGCGCCCCCTGCTGGCCTCACTAACACCACTTCCGGCAGCAACCTAGCTTTCCCAAGTGGTCTCCCATCCAGGTACTGACCGGGCGCAGCCCTGCTTAGCTTCAGTGGGCGACAATGTGAGAGTTGCAGAGAGCTAGCTGCCGGCTGTTTTTCTGTTTTTTTTTAGCCAATATATACTATATTTTTTGTTACTAATATCAATAAAACCAAATTAATAAAGCTAAACATTTTAAACAACTAATACAATTATAATATTAAAAACTAAATTATACAAAATTACTCTATTTACCGATCCTCAATTGGCTCCAAACCAAATGCTTTTTTCCTTTTCTGTTGATCACTAAAGAAGATATTTTGAAAAATGTGAGAAACTGATAACCATTGACATTAATAGCAGGTAAAACATACGTAGTTCATACACATTTTTACTAAACAAAATTCAATGAATTTCCTAAACCTTTCAAAAAAATGTTTTCATGACCTAATGTCCACATGTGCATGGTAAAAGAAAAACAATGCATGTTCAAATTTATTACAGCATATCGTAAAACATGCCACAATCGATAAAGTTTCAATTTAGATTTATATTTATGTAAAATTTATTTAGATAATGTTTACATCGCACTAATAATGTGAGAGTGTGTGATTGGCTAAGGACAGAATGGAAGTCAAGACAACCTACTTACATTTGATATTTGTCTTCCATGACTTTTCTAAAAATTTGTGGATTTTTCTATTTTTCCAAAACTTTTCCAGGCCTGGAGAATGCCACGTCAAAATTTCATGACTTTTCCAAGTTTTTTATGAACATATGAACCCTGCAGTCAATGGTTACCAGTTTTCAACGTTTTTCAAAATAACTTCTTTTGTGTTCAGCAGAAGAAAAAAAACGCAAACGAGTTTGGAACAAGTAAAGTGATTTTTATTTATTTATTTTTTTTTGGTAAACCATTCCTTTAAATGCTACAGAATATATTTACAATAGACAATGAATGATCATTCTGGGGCATATCGTACTAGAACAATAATTAAATTGTATTGTAGAGTGTTAAGCAATTACCTTGGTTGGATTAGGCTTGATGTAGTTAAACAATGACACTAAAACCACCAATATTGAGTGATTGACTTAATCGTCAATTCAAATAATTCATTCAAAAGAGTTGATTCATTTAGAAATGCGTGACAACTCCTTTTCTGAAATCCTATTGCATTCAACAGAATACGCTTTTGCTCCAGAATTTCAGATTTATAAATGGAACATTTGAGGTGATGTGAGGTGCGTTTACACTATTGTTTACAGCTTAAAACACACAATACATGACCATTCACACTCACTGGGCATCTGCAAGTCTTTCCTGCATCCATACATTACAGTCTACCAGTTGAGTAATGAGGTCATATTAGAGGGGCTTGATGAATCAAAATAAAGATATGTGATAATCCAGTCAGAGAGTAATTGTGAAGAGCTCCTCACCATTTGTAAAGGTTTAAGTCTGTCTAGACCAGGGGTGTCCAAACTCGGTGGTGAAGGGCCAGAGTCCTGCATATTTTAGGTCCAACCCCAATTAAACACACCTAAACCAGCTAATCAATCTCTTTCTAGGTATACTAGAAACGTCCTGGCAGGTGTGTTGAAGGGAGTTAGAGCTTAACTACGCAGGAAACTGGCCATCCAGGATGAGTCTGGACACCCCTGGTCAAGACTTAAACAGAAGACTATCTCTTCCAAGCTAAAACGAGGTCCTAAGCCAGGTCTGGGCAAACTTGATCCTGGAGGGCCAGTGTCCTGCATAGTTTAGCTCCAACCCTATTCAAACAGACCTCCATATAGAGTTCAAGTGATCTTGAAGACACTGTTTAGTTTGTTCAGGTGTGTTTGACTAGTGTTGGAACAAAACTCTGCAGGGACACCGGCCCTCGCGGATTAAGTTTGCCCATCCCTGTCCTAAGCCATATCAAAACCTTCATTTTGTTGGTCAAAGATGTCTAAATAGTGTGGATAACAGTAAAACGCATGCCTTTTAAAACAAAAAAATCATTAACAGTGTAAATTGCAGGTCAGTGTGATTGTTAGTCTAGTTATCTAATCACACCACCTAAATAAATGATTTTAATGTACACAATTGAAACTATTCAGTTTATGCATTTTTTTTTTTGGAAACCAATGATAAGACTTAATTTAGATTACTCTTTTTTTTTTTTAAGTCAAAATTGGAGTTTATGCTATTTTATCCTTTTAACAGTCTCCAAATGAGCCAGAAAAACAAGAACAGGTAAATGAAAACTAAAACAAAAAAGATTATTGTTAGGTAGCTTTCTTTATCGTTTCTCCATAGCCCATATGACATTCTCTTTCAATATAATGATACAGTTAGTTGACATGTTGCTCATTGTATGACTGAATTTCAGTAAATCACATACTTTTCATAAAGTGATGTATTCCCTTTAAGCATTCCCTCTGATCACCTAATTCAAATGAGTGCCACCACATCCCATCGGTGCGCTAGTAAATTAGTGCTACCACCGTCCCCCAAATGTGAGTTAGTAAGTCAGTGAGTCAAAGAGGCAGAACTGCTGTGCTCACTTCAAGAGTCCTAAAGGAGGGTCTCTCTCCGTGGGGACCCGGGTAACCTGCGCCCCGGCTCTGGAGGTGCCAGCAGATCTCGACACTTAGCTACAGGCTGGACCGCCGGGAGGGACAGGATGGACGGTCTCAGCTGGCTTTTGGGGGCCGCTGGTTCATCAGCTCTCTCTGGACTGCACGGCGTCCGGACACACACCGGGACTCGGGGCCGTGGGGCGTGATCCAGAGAGTTTGACCGCTGAACCACTGCACTTTTAATAGAGCCGGTCAGACTGAACGTAGAGGCAGAACGAGACATCTATACTCACATGGAGACAGAGAAATTACAGAGCGTATTAAAGGTGACGTAAATTTGACTTCTCATGTGTTTAAATGCTATAACTGGGTCCTCGATATATCTACCAAAGCCAAAAAATAGAGACTGAATGAGGCATTAACTTTGTTTTGGTACACCTTTGGTCCAATCCCAATTCTCTTTTTGTACCCCTACCCCTTGGCGCTTGAAGGGGAAGGGCTTCAAAAATTACTCCTAAGAAATAGCACATCACTACAACACCTGCACATGTCATCGTGATCTCTTGCTTCATATGAGTGTTAAGATGGTGACTGCTGTAGTTATTCCAGTTGCATTATTTTTATTTTTTTTGTTATTTATCTTCAGGAAACCACTGAGCAACAATATCACGTTATCATAACGATAAAATGTGGCAATAAGCTACTGTGGCAGTAACTGCACTATGCATTTACACGAAAACAACATTAACATTATACCAGCCACTGTAAAAAGGTCATTCCCAGTCATTAAACTTATCTAACATTTTGGAATCATGATTTTCTCCTTTTGCCCTATGGAAAGGGTAAGGGGTAGAATAATATTTGGACTTTTTGTCTGTAAAACACACCATTTGGATTTCAATATTCCAGTGAAGTAGGAAGAGAATCTTGATTCAAATTGGTCAGTCAAGACAATCCAAGCTATGTTATTCCTACATAATCATTAAAACTTAACCCAGGTTTATCATGGTTCACAGAGTTATCTTACCCATCAGTGAATATGTATATCCATATATATGCTTGCCTATCATGCTGTTGTTTATAACTGATTGGTGCCATCTTGTGACTAATTAATTAGGTAAGGTTAGAGTATGCTCCATTTAGCCGTTTTTGTTGCTGTCAGTTTTGCATTTAATTGAAGGATTAATAAAGATTTGAGGCTCAGAATGATGTTTTGTATGTATTTTTTCAGTATTCTGGCAAATAGCGGTGTAATAAGTGGTGTAATAAATCACAAATCTCACGGTTTAGATCACACTACAGTTTTTGAGTCAAAGATTAGAACATTTTTTGGATCAGCAAAAAAGGAAGGAGATAAATGTCAATTGCTTTCCATTTCTACAAAAATATTACTGCATGAAAGCCATTTGTTTTAACAAACAGAACTTAATTTAAATAAAAACGTACTTTAAATTAAACGTAATTTAAATAAAAAATGAACATCAAGAAAAAACCAGCTGGGGGAAAAAATTCAATATGAATCTTTGCTAATGTTGCTAATAATACTAAATATAGAAATCAAACACCTTATAAAATATATATTTATTTTCAACTAATGATTCAACAAATCGCACATAAAACTTCACGTTTCATCATAGGTGGATCACTTTTGAAAATCTATTCAGTAACATAATTTTGCAGAGTTGTTTGTTGCCACTTGTTGGGTAAACAAGGTTATTGTAACAACATTCACCAGCATCAAGATCCGTTTATCTTTCAGTGTTTATACCTGAACTATAAACTGTTATGCCAGTACTTCTGTGTTTTTTAATTGTTTGTAACTAACTGAAACAATCTGTTAAACCCCTGCTAATAAGCAAGATAAAGTACACCAAGGTGGTTGTTTTCACAGAGCACAATCCTTAAAAAACAATGCTGATATGCATGTTTAACCTTATTCTGTAATAAAAAACCAACTGGATGTACTTTATCCCTTACTTAACTCTTAGTCTGCATGTGTCCACCAAAAGATCCACTGCTTTATGTATCAGGGTTAGGTGAATATTGTTTTTGAAAGATTAGTCAAAACCAGCACTTCATGCTAAAAGTCCATTTCCAGAACTAGTATCATATTTTGATAATGTTTTCAAACATCCTTTATGAATGTGCCGGTTAACATGCTGTGGGGTGGGGCTGCACAATATTGGAAAATTTTATATGTCACCATATGACTTCCTATCTCTATTTGGAAAGAATGTACAATGTTAGATCAATTGGGTTGATTCTGCAGTGCAAATGCATCTCTATAAAATCTAATAAACCATCTACAAACTTTTTGGGGCACGTTTCTGTTGTCGTCCGTGCTATTTGCAGTGCGTTTCTGTATTTGCATGTGTTGTGAGCATTTTCACGCATAACGATCAATAAATACAATCAAGAAAAAATGATACAATAAAAATAAATCAATAAAATAATCATACTTAAGGTCACAAATAGTACAATTTCTTATATCTTAATGTTTTTAAAATCCTTACACAATCACAGGCATCATGCAAATGATAAATTATAACACAACATTGTATAGCCTGTGATGTGACTATTGTGAATGATCACATTGCAATATTGATATATTGAAACGATATATTGTGTAGCCCTACTGTGGGGCTAATGTGCTTATAGTTACCATCGACTCTGACTGTTTTCACAGTTATAAGATCTACCATGTTGTTAGATTAATCCTGAAAATGCTTGCAGTCAGCTTAATTTGTAAAAGAACTTTTATTATGTACTGTATAGCCTGACTTTTTACGTTTTCCATGAAGATGGAAGGATTGTACCAGTAGTGTAATTTTATATGATAAGGCCAGCACTTCGGTAGAGAGCAGTAACATTCTAGTCAATAAGCTGAACCAATTTTGCTCTACAACAACTGCATAAATGTATTCATAACCATTCAGAATTGTTCTGGTTGAGACTAAAAGTGTTAACTTCTTTGTCTGTCTGCCATTTGAACATGCAAGACTTTAATCCGCTACTGGTGTTTTCAGACTTTTTGTCAGCATGAGATTTGATTGTTTTTTGTAGTTTTCTGTCAAAATATCATGTAAATGTGCCACCTTTTTTTTGGAAAGAAGCTTTTAGGGTCATCAATCAATCAATATGTGAATGTCCCTATACATTTTGCATTAAAAATAAACATACACAAAAATAGCACATTTATGCTTAAATCAAAATAGGAGCAGGCTATAATAAACGATCTGCGAGATTTTTTTTTTAAGATGAAACTTCACAGACACATTTTGGGGACACTGGAGATTTATTTTACAACTAGTGAAAAGGGGCATAATATGTCACCTTTAATCTTGACTGGTAGTGTCTCTGCATTGAACGCCCTTAAAATCACTCATTTTAAAATTACTAGAGGAAGTGAAAAATCTGAGCACGTTACGAACGCTGGGATTTCGATTTCTACCTATTTAGCTGTGCATGAATCACCTTAATGAATAAGGTCAAAATGCCCCTTTTAAAAGAGCTGAAAGATGAGGAATGAGCGACCAAGGCAACTGTATGCCTTCTGAGAGCAAAATTCAAGTCAGACAGATTTGGCAAGTCATACTGTAAAGATTCAGCTGTGGAAAATGAGATTAGTGTGAGCAATACGACTCTGTGAGAGACATGAATTTATGTAAATGCCTGTTTACAGCAAGTATGATGCGTCTAAATGACACAAATATGAAATATTCAGACAATTTATGCACCAAAATTATTCAAAACATTTCCAGAGCTGAAAAGTCATTGTTCTCTGGGAAAAAAAAAACTAAAACAAACAAACAAACAAACCTGTCGCTGAATAACAGAAAGATCATTGTAGTTTAATATCTTGGATTCAAGGCTTATTCACAGTAGGAGGGAAAACTCACCACAGACACAATTTTCAGTTGAAAATGCACTTCCTGATAAACTATTCACACATTTGTATTTTATTTTTGGCAGACGATTGTCACCAGTATTCAATCGTCTTGAAGAAAACAGACAATTTATACTTTTACACTAAATATTCAGCTTTGCCATTACATACATTTTATAAATAAATTGCATAAATGAACTAAATTATGTACATTTTACATAAATTAAATAAAACTAAATTAATATAAAACAATTACTCTTTTGCAGTTTGATAAATACTTACAATTACAAATCTATCTATCTATCTATCTATCTATCTATCTATCTATCTATCTATCTATCTATCTATCTATCTATCTATCCATCTATTTTAAATAGTGTCAAAAATAATGTCTGTGAATAAAGAATTTAAATATTTTAAAAATGTAACCAATAAATGTATAATGAGCCAAACTCAAAGTGTTATGCAAACAAAAATAGCAGTATGAAAATTGTGCAGGTGTTTTATTGCAAAACAAAAGGTGGCTCACCTGCCAAACTGATGACATATGACTGATTAATTTTTTTGTCATGTTGAATAGAAATGTCTGCTTTCATGTAGTTAGAAATAGACGTTTTTCTCTTAGCCACATCATTTGATGTTGTCGCCATGCTGCTGTCTCTTAATTGTACTGGTTGTTGCCAGGTTATGGAAAAAATAACATGCTCACAACATCCATTCAGATAACAAGAACTGAAAAGCAATATAGTGTTTACTATACCAAATGCTTTAAAGCACAAACTGTTTTTTGATTTAGTTATTTTTAATTTTTTTGGCACGCAACTGACAATTTGTTGCAGGCAAATTAAACCTGGCAGCACTGGCCCGATCAGGCTAGTAATGATCCCGTTAACCGTCTCAAACACCCCTCATGCTGGCCCCAATCCATCGGGCAGTCCTTAGTGTTGAGCCCTGCTATCTATATCTATACATCTATCTCTCTCTCTCTCTCTCTCTCTCTCTCCAAGTTCCTGTTTTGTAGGGAAGCATCAAAGTTTGTGAGGCTGCCACGGACACGCTCTTTGACGAAAACTCTATAGATCTTCGCAATTTAACATTGCCAAGGCCTTTAGATGACATTACCCAATGTTGGTGTTGATCTGATAAAATCCCTAGGAGGAGTTTGTTAAAATACAACACTTGTAAACTTTAAAAATAAAAAGGAGTGCTTGTTTATTTGTGTTTTTATGAAAAAATTATTGAAATAGCCACTCTTCTCTGAGCCTACATAAATATACAGATAAGAAAGCTCACCATCATGTTGCTTGAATAGGCATCAGGGCAAAAGTGTTTTTCCCCCCTTCTATTCGTTCTAAGAGTGAATGAACCTTGAAGCACACGGATGCACCATTTGCTGTTGTGCATGTTTTTTCAAAACAAGTAAAAGGATGGTGTGGACAGGTCTCAAAAATGAGTGCATTATTCATACATCATCGACTCAGTTGTGCGTCTTTCATTCAAAGCTAAGATCAATACATTACTAAGAAGAAAGAGACAGAGAAAGTGTGTGTGCATGCGGACTCACAGCCAGTGTGGAGCTGCTGGACATTCGGCTCATGCGATCGGCATCTGGGCAAGGACTCCTCTCATCTGGGGTACCATTGGCCATAAAAGCCCTCTGAAGCACACGCTTGGGGGTTTTAGTGAAAGAAAAGGCTCGTGTGACCTAAAAATCGCAAAGCAGAACTTTTACAAAGTGCAACATATTCCGGGATCAACTTCTTTGTTGATCTTAAAACAACATTCCAATCAACCAATAAGATTTGAGAGACAAGTTAATGTTAAGTTTAAGCTAACAATCAGCGTAAGATGTTTCAACGTCATTGCTATTCTCATATAATACCACAAGAGGATATGGTTAGGGTTGGGTTTAGGGGTAGGGATTACAGTTGGACAACATTTTTGGACAAAATAATGTTTCAGTATCAACAATATATGACAAATGTAAAGTTGTATTCACATTAAAATGTATAAAATGGGGGAAAAACCCCAAAGTTGGCTGCACGATACTGTAAAAATCTAGCATTGTGATCTTACTGTATGTTTTTCTGTGATATACACTACGACATAAATACAATTAACCAGATGGCTTGAATAGCCTTTCTGAAAAGAATTCATTACTTCAGATTAATTGGGATAATTCTGCAAGGGAGTGAATCATGCATAAAAAAATAATAAACAAGAATGATAAATACAATAGAGCAAAGAAAACAAAAGGTGCTTTGTGTTTTTTTTTTTTGGAGTCTAACATCACTTAGGTTGAAGAAACAAAACTACATGCTCTTCATTGTATGAATAATCCAATTAAACATTGACCGTAAAATGTTTTATGCCTGAATGTTTCTAGCTCTCGTCAGCGGCCTTCAAAAACACATGCAGACATGGTTGTTACGTCCCAGTGTTGTTTTGGGATCATGATTTTCCCCTTTTGCCAGTCTCCCTCTCTCTCTGCTTTTATCCGCTGGATTGACTCACGCTGCCCAGCTGTTTGCCGTGTCCCCCTTGACGTCATCCTACTGTCTCCAATGCAGCCGCTGCAACCGTGACAAAAGTGTTGAGGGGACGCTACTTGTGAGGCCCGGGACGCTTTGAATTTCTGTTGTACTGTGTGTCAGTGAATCATTGTAATTGGGTATTTTCTGTATCTATTTGTTTGGATGCGGCCTGCATCTCATCTCTTTAACTACCCCATCTACCTGTATAAACATTTTGTGTCCCGTTTGTTGTCTCAGTGTTGTTTCAATATATTTTTGTAAATTTTTATTGTACGTTATTGCATTTAGTTAGTCATGGTATTTTGTCCCTCACTTGTTGATGTTGTGTGTTTGCTTTAGGGATGAGATGATGACCATTTTTAAAGTATACTGTGGTTTGGAAAAGTCAAGGTTTTCAAAATCGGCAACATTTTTTTTTTTTATCGTTCCTACAGTGTATGTGAGATTTTTTTATTTTTTTACATTTTTTATCTTCAGCAGAAATGATACAAAAGATGCCATTTTAAATTGTAAAGAAATCTGTGTTTTTAAAGCCAATTAAGACAGCAGAAGTCTTCATTTTAATTTTGTAGCCTGACATGTTAAACGTTACAAAATTTTTAAGTATTTCTCAAAAATATATATTTTTTTTTATCTGTGTCCGAAATCGCCTACTACTCAGTAGGTCAGGGCTGTCAAACTCAAATCCTGGAGGGCCGCAGACCTGCACAGTTTAGTTCCAGCCCTGCTTCAACACACTTGTAAGTTTCAAACAAGACTAAAGCACTCAATTAGTTTGAATAGAATTTAGTTGAATTAGAATTTACTACTCAAACGATAGAAAAGTACATTCTATACAGTATGAATGAGAGTAGCTTGAAGGGAGCTCGGATGTACTATGGATGCCACTTTGTCATCATTACATGACATTCCCGCTTCACTCCAATTCATGAATTCTTCATCGGATGCGCACTTCAGAATATCACTGGAAGTTCGAATTCTATGAATTAAGACCTATCACTTGGCTTGCATACTGTTTTTAACGAACTATATAGTATGGAACTGGAAATTATTTTTTTTTTTGTACGGAGACATTTATAAAGAAAATATTTTAGAGCAGTAATCACAATACCGTAAAACCATGCTATTTTTATCCAAGGTTATCATACCGTTACAGTATACCGGCCCATGCCTAGTTTGCTTATGTGTTTCATCCAAAATTAATGTTACTCTCCCTCCCCTTGACTGACCACCTTTATGATTGCAACAATGGTTAAACTCAAACATCTCATTTGTTCTGAACTTTTGCCTGTGCAAAGTGACTATCGCAGATGATTGAATTGTGAAAGTGACGCTGAAATCATATACTGTGCAGTCCTAAAATTATTATTATTTTTTTTCAAAATCATACAAATATAGTTTCGAATATCAAAACAGGATTGGAGTTACTTGCGTCATGAACGCTGACAGAAATTTGCATTCATATCATGCCGTCATTTTCAATAGTCCCAGGTTCTTCTCCCTACCTTCTTTGATGTCTTTTTGATGGCTCTGGATGCTCGGCTGAGCGTGCTGTCCATGTCCTTAGTGCTCACTTGGACCGAGTCAGGATCGGTGCTCTGAATGAGATCTTCCTGTTTGAGACAGGCAAAAATTAAATCAGAACACAGAGATACTGCTGGCCTGTCAAAGAGTGCAAAGAGAAGCGTCACTGTTCAGCTTCCCAAACAGCATGTTGATATTCAGAGGAGCAGAGAGTGAATGAGACTGCATTTCACATGTGGCTAGATCGCCACCTCATGGCCAGTAATAAAATTGCAGGCAAGGCCAAAAACGCAATTAGCCGCAGGGTTTGGTCTGGTTGTTTAATTACAAAGGGAAATACATGCATCTGTCTGCCCGCGCCAATTACATGTGCCGTTTTGAAAGGCCTGGGCGGGACCTGCAGTTCTGCAGCACGAAGATAAAGACGTCTATGTCTGAAGTGTAAAGTTCAAGTACAATTGCTCTCTTAATTACATTAATCTGCCTCCCAGTTTAACCACACAGGAGCATCTAATAGGATTAGCCAACACCAAAAGGCCCACACAAACCTCCTAATTTATAGCCACAATAAAAGGAAAGCAGAGCTAATAAAATAAATAATTGAGTTGTGTTCAAGACCTGAGGGGGATGATCTGAGGAGGAAGTGGCCACGTGCGTGTGTGTGTATGTATGTGTGCGTTTGTGCTCACCGCGTCAGCTCGACAGATCGTATTGGCCACCTGACGGCAGAGAGTTCTGAGCCAGGTAGTTTTGAGGGTGTCTTCAGCCGTCAGCTGGAAACTGAATAGCAAGTTCTCTTGTTCTGTAGGAGGACGCACCACCAGGGCGAAGGCGTTCTGACACTCTAAGAAAGAGATAAACAAATGAAAAATAAAAAAATAAAAATAGAGGCAGAGCATGTCACTTAGAATTAAGCCTAGAAGATGCCATGATCTATATTACACAAAGAAAAAAAATAAGCTGACTGGTCAACTTGCTGGCCATTATTGTGAAATAAGACACTATTCTGCTTCCAATCAAGTTCGATTTTGGATCTTGACCGGCTGACTGTAAAAATGTTATAGAGCATTTTATTCAAGCATTAAAATTGATATAACTATCTGACCAAAACTAAAAGCAAAACAACCATTCCCATCAAAACCACACCTGAAGAAAAAAAAACTGTAAACAAACTAAACAGGAAAAAAAAGTATCATCAGCAATTAATTATTTGTATGTTAATTGGTTATTAATAAAAAGTCAACCAAAAGCCACATTCTTTAAAAGTCTAGTGAAATTAAAATTTAATTTTCTCATCAAATCTTGACCTATCAAAAGCTCTCCAGTATCTGACATGCCCCACCCCACTCAAGACTATTTTAATGCACTTGAGCTCAACCACTCCCACTGGCATGGCTGTGATAAAAAAACAAGCGGCAACCTCCCACTCTTCCTTGAAGCAAATACGAAAGTAAATGAAACTGCAATCCATCGAAATTCCGCTAGTCCTGGCTCCAAAACAGAGCACATTTCTATTACATTTACATTTAGTCATTTAGCAGACGCTTTTATCCAAAGCGACTTACAAATGAGGACAAGGAAGCAATTTACACAACTATAAGAGCAACAATGAATAAGTGCTATAGGCAAGTTTTAGGTATGTAAAGAAAGTGTAAGAAGCAAAACATTAGTAATTTCTTTTTGACCCCATTGTTAAAATGGCCAACTTTATAGCAGTAAAAAAGGTGTTTACAGCCTGATACAAAAATGATTTGGGTGTATACAGCTAATATTACCCTTTATGACAACTGTGAGGGGGTGATTTTTTTAATACAACTCATCAGTTTAGTTTATTTTAAGTCATAAAAAAGTCTTAAGTGGCGTGGCCACTTTAGTGACAGCTAGGTCTTGCTGGTCGCCAGCATGCCGTTCTGGCTGATTAGCTGCTAAACTCGGCATATACAACATATTTTTGCTTTGTTTATGTGGCTTTACACACTCAACTGCATTTTAGAATTATTTCCTAAAAATTATCAGATAATAGGGCATGCTATGTGCACTTAACTGTGCTCACAAACCATTCAAGTGGCCTCCAATTCCTAGATGAGTGAAATTCTTATATACTCACGTACCATATCTATAAATGTATTTATTATTTAAGCTAAATTACAATTATAATTTTCTTTAGAACTTGAATGCACTCCAGAATCTGAGTGATCAGCTGTAGGCAATAGAACAGTTATCTCAAAAGTTTTCATAGTGTTAACCCTGGATTTCATAAATAGGTTTGCATTTACTAACACAGACTCTATTTGAAGTATTTGGACGTAATTTGCATTTTCCTCATGTCGAAAAATGTCATAAGAACAATGCTTAGTGGCTTAATGTAGTACAACAGTGTTTTTAAAAGACTAAACATTTATTGATATAGTATACAACCAAACACGTGGTCAGAACACAAACGAGTCGCAGGTAATGACGTATTAAGCGTTTCTCTCAAAGAAAACATATCTAAGCAAAGTTCAAGCAGGCATAAGTAGCTCCGCCTCTTTGCCCTTTTTTGGTTACCCCTGGTCAGTGTGATGGCAATGGTTGGCCATGCCCGCTTGTGGCTTCTTTTTTTTTTAAGTTCCTAGGTTCTGCAGGTTGCAATATAGTGATTTTTTATTTATTTTTTTGCCAATCTTAAGCCAATTGTAATGTTTTGTTTTGGTTCGAGTTGGAATTTCTCTAACCAATCGCAGAGCCCAGGGAACCAGAGTGAGTGCTCCGACTTGGCCTCCCTGGTCCACTAGTAGCTTTATTTGCGCTCTTCAAAAACCTATGGGTGACGTCAATATTTTTTAGTCTATGGATAAAAACATACTATTGGCTGTTTTTTTGTTTTTTTTAATAGGGATGAGCTACTCTATGCCCCACCTTGTCTTAATTTTTCAGTTGAAAATATGTCAAACATGCAGATTTGATGGGACTTTTAATGTATACAACGTCATCTTTCAAAGAAAAATAATATTAATTGGGAAACAATGCAGGTAAGGGATTGATCTACGGAGATTTGATTGAATCATAACAAGTGGACCCCTGGGAAATTAGTTCATTTGCGGCACAAAATGGGCTCCAGTGCTAAGAGCTGCTCTTGTAGAAGCACAGATCTGAATCTCAGTCAAAATTCCATGTGTTAAAGTTTGATTTACAGCCTTACTGTGTCTTTAGCGCATGGAAATGCAGTAAAGTAGGGCTGAGTGGTATATTCAATATTCACAATAAATTCTCAATGATTCGGCAGGCTCTATAAAATGAGGTTTATAACCACTCGATTTCCTAAAATTGCAACAGTATCATATTAATTTTGGGATTCTTCCATTTCCTTTTATTTGCATGAAAGGAATAATACAGTTAGCAAGTTCGGTTTTAAATGATCAAATTAAAATATTTGTTTAATAAAAACAAATTTCCATCGATTAAAATGTTTGGTATGAGGTTATTACACGATCCAGTTTACTAACATTGTGAAATGCATAAGCGAATATAAAGTAATATATTTTTTAATACATTTTTTAATTGTTTTTTTTAGATCTACACTATGTAAGCTTTATTGCTGAATTGGTTAAATTACAATAAATGGTTAACGCATTAAAATCCAAACTACAACCCTTTAACCCAGTATTCCTCTGAAAGCAACAAAAATAATACTGTGTTGAAAGAACTAAATCGGTTTCATAACTGCATGACAACTTCTCTCTCTGGGTCACCGACAGTGCAAATGCAAATGCAAATGAGAATTTTCCGCTCCGAACACACTTGTCAAAGATTTAACAGGATTATCTGAAAAGCTGTCATCATCAACCACAGACATAAGATTGTGTAGGTGATTAACTGCACAGCTCAACTATCATTAATAAATAATACAATTGTAAATTGTTCATGTTAGCTCATTGCACATTCCCTAATATGTGGATTGCTTTGAATATTTTTAAAAATAAGTGTATAAAAGTATTATTTTAAAAAGCATGTGTTAGGGATTAAGTGCCAATGTTAGCTAATTTAATTGATAAAGTTATAAATTGTTAATTTAATGCTTATGCGTGAAATAAAACCTTACAGTTATTTGTTATCATATATTTTGTTAAAATATCTAAAAGGTAAATACTGTCATTACGCTGCAAAAAAATGCTTTTCTTAGATTTTTTTTGTCTTGTTTCTAGTCCAAATATCTAAAAAATCTTATATCAAGAAGCATTTTCTAGGCAAGCAAATCATAATATCTTGTTTTAAAAAATAATATGCCAAATTGAAGTTCATTTTACCTTAAAACAAGCAAAATAAACTGCCAATGGGGTAAGCAAAATAATCTAGTTTTTCCTTTTGACATAATATTATTTTTCTTACCCCATTGGCAGATTATTTTGCTTGTTTTAAGGGAAAATGAACTTCAATTTGGCATATTGTTTCTTAAAACAAGACAATATATTTTGCTTGTTTAGAAAATTCTTCTTGATTTAAGAATTTCTAGTTAAAATCAAAAACAAGTCAAAATCTAAGTAAGAAAAACATTTTTTACAGTGTTCTTACCATATATTGCAATGTTTTCTTATGTTTAAATAAGATTTCAGTGTCCTTTTAAGACCTTTTTTTTAGACTTGTTAACATGTTTTTAAGTATATCGGCCAGCTCTACAGTGTAGTGACACACTTTACACATATCCAGACTTAACCTCTCTCTCCTGGGTGCTAATTCAGAACACAGAAAACTCGAATATGCACGAGTGCACTTGGTGAGATGCAGAACAGTTTAGTCGTTCCCTCACCCTCAGTGTCCTGGATGTCAAGGACTCTTCTGATCTGGGACAGGGGCATCAGGGTGATGTGTTTGAGCTGGGCAGGTGGTCGTGTCTGACCCAATGGACTCCGAAAATTTGTTATCACCTTGTGCCTTTTCCTGGCGATCTGAATGTAAAGACAAACAAACAGAATAAATATATAGAATAAAACATCTAAATTAGGGCTGTTGATTTAAAATGTAAAAAAAATGTGTTGGTTATGAAAATAAATAAATAAACGCATTCACTTTTAATGTAAGACATACATTTTTAAGTTGATTAGTGATCAACATGATGCACAGTGGAGACTATAGAACATTGTTATATTTTTCTAGATTATTTTTCTTAAACTGGCTAAACTACATCTTGACTTTTATATTTGCATAAGTGTAATTAATGTTTGTTTTGTTCTGAAAAACTCAACTGTAAATGCGATACACTTTTTTAGAGAGTTATGTGAATAAGTTCATATTCTGAGACTGAGACCTTTTATCTCTTTAATTTTTACCCATACCTGCCAACATATGTTTTTGAAGATTCGCTGGGGGCGGGGAGGGGGGGGTGATTGAGATGCAGAAGGGATGCCTGGTCTGTTTTATGCACCAGGTATCGGCTGCCATATGAATAGTCACTGGTCCTGGGGTGATCCTGGGGTCTGTTGGCAGGTATGGGACTGTTGGCAGGTTTGGTTTTGCCAGCAAAAAAATACTTATTGATGCATAAAAGATGTGCATCCACAATTTGTTTTTTTCTGATTGAACACATTAGGCATTAACCACCACCTACTGGTGGTTTGGACCCCATATTTAATAATTCAGTAAGCAAAATGATTTCAGATTTTTATATTACTGTTAAATAAAATAGCATCCATACAGTACATCCAGACACGCATTCATCCAATGGCATAAAACACACTTTTTCATCCAGCACTTTTGTTTGAAACACTTATCATTTTTTGCAGAACCTATATATTTTTAATGTTCTAAACTGTTTCTGAGCGGCAATAAATGGTCTGTTACCATATTTAGATGCATCTTCAGAAACAAAATAAGAGGGGAATGCATGGCTGTTGTACTGTAGCTTCAAAGTTTGCGTTTTAAAATACAAACAAAATCAAAACTAACCTTATGATTTTGTTAGCTCACATTGCTAGTTTTGTAATGTTATTTTAGTCTGTATTAATTAATCTGTGAATGTCATTAAGAAAAACTAAATTGCCCTTGTAATCTTTAATTGAAAAATGTGTTTTTTTTTTCCTCTAATTTGTCAGATCGTGTATGTCTTAGATATTGGGCTTGGCTAACATACTCAACCACACCCCGCAGGTGTCTCGTGTTATAATAAAAACTCTTCTAAAACCCATTTCCAGATCTTTCTAAATGAAATGGCTACTTTACAACATCTAATCAGCTTGCAGTAGAAAAAAACAAGCCACGCCCACTGTTTCCTCATCACCATACAGAAAGAAAGAAGAAAAAAATAGTCGCAGGTTTCAGTTCTTGTGAACTAAAAACCGCCACTTTATAGGTACACCTGTCTAACTGCTCATTAACGCAAATATCTAATCAGCCAATCACATGGCAGCAATTCCATGCATTTAGGCATGTAAACATGGTCATGGCAATCTGCTGCAATTCAAACCTGAATGAGCATCAGAATGGGCAAGAAAGGAAATTTAAATGACTTTGAGCATGGTTGTTGGTGCCAGACGGGCTAGTCTGAGTATTTCAGAAACTGCTGCTCTACTGGGCTTTTCATGCACAATCTTCTCTAGGGTTTACAGAAAATAGTCTGAAAGAGAGAAAATATAAAGTGAGCCGTAGTTCTGTGGGTGCAAATGCCTTGATGCCAGAGGTCAGAGGACATTAGTACCAATTGAGCATCATGTCAACGCCACAGACTACCTGAGTATTATTGCTGACGATGTTCATCCCAGTGTACCAAGCTTCTGATGGCTACTTCCAGCATAATAACATGTCATAAAACGCAAATCATCTCAGACTGGTTTCTTGAACATGACAATGAGTTCACTGTACCCAAATGACCCCTCAGGGTTTGGTCTGGTTGGTTTGAATGAGTCTTCAGATCTCAATACAATGGAGCACTTTTGGGATGTGGTGAAACGAGATTTACATCATGGATGTGCAGCCGACAAATCTGCAACAACGGTGTGACGCTATTATGTTAATATGGACCAAAATCTCTAAAGAATATTTCCAGTACCTTGTTGAATCTATGTCATGAATGATTAAGGCAGTTCTTAGGGCGAAAGATGGTCCAACAAAGAAACTAGGAAAGAATACCTAATATAGTTTATAAAAATTGATGCCTTTGAATTCAACTATGATGCAGGTAATTTCTTATTAATTATGCAATTAAGATAGATTAATCACAACATGTAATTAGATTCGACTTAACTGACAGGCTTACTTTCAATACAAGCAGCTTTCTTCATACCAGAGGAATGTAAAATATTCTTTTGCGCACTCAGACGGAACAGTTGGGACTGCTTCGGGTGCTTTAGAGGAGCCGAAATGTGTAATGCAGATTGAGGTGACAGATATGCATACAGAGGACTTCCTAAAATGAATAATTGATCACTCAGAGTCTTCCCTTCTCCCTGGTCTCATTACCAAGCCAGAGGTAGAATTAGGTGAAGAGGACCAGAGCCGTGTACCAGTGCACGCGAGTAAACCCCTCAACAGTGCTTAATCGCATCCCCTCACTAATTGGGGAAACAGGCCAGAAAGTCGAGTCAGCAAGCAGAGATTGCACATGCATAAATTATTCACTTTTTTCCCCCTCAATGGTTGCGCTCACCCGTGAACTAAACAAACAATTGTTGAGGTTGCTGAAATTGTGCAGAAGGAAAAAAAGGGAGGGAATTTAAGGAGGCGCTGATGGAGGTTAAACTGAGGAGCGGGAAGAGCCAAGATGTTCAAGAAATAATACATTACATAATAAAAAGAAATCTAGTTTAAATGCAGACAATTTGTTAAAAAGACAACACTGAAAAGTGTTTGAAACACTTTGAAATGATGTAAAGTACATTTATTTCTGTCCCTTTTCATTTTATTATGATAGGACAGTAGATTTTAAAAGGAAGTAAAGTTGGAGAAAGGGGGAATGGGAAAGATCAACGAGTCTGAAGTCTAATATCTTTCAGTGATAAAACGTATAAGTTTTGCTGCGGTTACGAGCTCCGGTTTTCAAGCTCCGAAAATGGAGCATTCGAACGCCTTTTTGGTTTTTAAACACTGCTGCTCCATGTCAGTGTGAATGGGGGGAAACGGAGACATCTGAGGCGTAGCAGCAGACACTCGCCCACATCTGACTGGGGTTTTGTCTCAATATTAAGTGCAAAAAGTTCAGTCTTGCATAGTCCATTTCTAGTAAGTTCAGACTTCGCAAGTTTGATATGGAAAACAAACTCTCGAGGACACAAAGGGTAAATCTTCAACGGGAAAAGGTAGGCGGATGCCTGCAACCATGCCTCCGTTTTCAAATGGGACCAGTGATGTGTGCTTGCAGTGGTAAACAAATATAAATATATATAAACATGTGTGGTTCCACATTAAAGCCTGTTTCACACCATAAGTGTAAGCAGAGCGTGAATTTTCCACATCCATGTTAACAGATTAGAGCTTTCATCACGCATGCAGCAGCAGCGTATCAGTGCAAGCGTCGCTGAAGCAGCAGTGCCGTGTTTCGGCGCTGGGTCTATTTTTGCCGTGCTGCTCACGCTTAATTAAAGTGACAGTGCACTGATAATGACCAAAACACATTGAATGACAGTAAAAAGTAGTAATTTTACCCAATAGATGCGTTAATAATATAAAATGATTTATTTATAGTCAAATCAAATGAACTTAAACGATTAAAAACTGCAACAAACATTTATTTAGGGCCGAACTACAAATCCAAATGTAAAACAGTTTTAGTATCTGTTTTGCCTAAGTTGCACACTAGTGTTGCAGGAGAGGGGAAGTGGCTGCTTTAAGACTGCTATTTACGGGAGTTGTAGTCCATAGAAGTGTATTGTGGGTAGTGTAGTTTGACATGCATGCTGGATGAAGTCAGCTCGTTGTGTGCTGTGTAGCTGAAGCAGAGGAAGAAAGTTTTATTCGGCTTTGTATTATGCTCACTTAAGTTATTCCACCCGGGAGCTGTTTGCACTGTGAACCTGACAACACGAAAATAAGTAAAAGAAGGGCATGCATTAATTCATCATTTTTGTCCGTCTCATCCTTTGCACGAGCTGTTACTCTGCCACTGGACATTACTGAAGTGGAGAAAGTAGGCTAACACTAGATCATGTTTAAATATGGTTATAACCATATTGTATAAATATTATTATAACTACACCTACAACAACCTGACAATCAAAAACCAATACATGACATGATATCACAGGAGATGGTCTTCTGAGTGTACCAGACATGAATGACACCTTACATGGAGCTTGAGAAGCATACAGTACTGTATTATCTATATGATTTGTAAAATGAAAACTTGAAAGTTAAAGAAACAGCATAGGAGGAGGTTGCCGCGGGCCTTGGTGCAGATGAAGTTTATAAAATTATTATTTGCATATAGAGAGATAGACAGAGATAGATTGATTTCTGCAGCAGCTGCCGAAGATCTGCATGCTGCAGACACAGCCTGGTGTGAAAGACAAATCTGCTCACGCACTGCTTTCGCTTGCAGTGTGAAACCGGCGTAATACGTTTTAGTTTTAAAACAGTGTTTTAGAATGAAAACAATGCACGTCCACACTGGCATTTCTGAAAAGATCTCGGTCCACACTAAACTGCATGAAAACTCCAGAGTAGTTGAATGGATGGAAGGCGTTACAGTCGCAAAACATGCATTTTAAAACTAAAACGTTTTCAGTGTTATAGTGTGGACAGAGGGCTTTTCAGAAAAGCTAGATGAAACACCAGTGTGGACGTGGTTCACTTTATTAGTGTATACAGGGCCGTGTGTATTTTTCGTGAGTGGATTGCTTCTGCGACAGGTGAGGGGTGGAGGATTGTGATGTCTATCGGCCATCGGCAATGGACGATTGCATCATCTATCAACCCAACCCTAGCTCTCTCTCTCGCACGCACGCACGCACACACGCACACACACACACACACACACACACACACACAATAGTAGTAATAATAATAATAATAATAATAATAATAATAATAATAATGATAATAATGTCACCTAACAATGTATGCAATGTGGTTGTAATAACAATTAGATTAAAAAAATTAGATATTACTTTGCCATCATACGGCTTTCAAAAAAATAAACACAACAAATATAATAAGACAAAGATTAATGCATTTGTTTTGTATAATAAAGAAGATTTTTAATTTATATCCACTTTGCAAAGCAGAAAATTTAACATTACCTCTAAGCAGTCGTTGAACAGGAAAAGTGTGACATGTTCTCCACGATCACAGGGTTTATCTCCCAGCGCAATGGTCTCCACCCTGTGAACCAGACTTCGGTGTGACGATAACAGGTTGGCCTGTAGGTGAAAAAAAAAAAAAAAAATTAATACAAATACATTGGTTGCCATGTCGCAAAACATTTACAAAATTTCCAGTAAATTAATTAATTATAAGTGAGGACTGTGCTGAATTTTGCTCAATCGACCCGAGCGCTTGATGAACATGCTGCATTTGCTGTCTCAGTGTTGTTCCTGGATCAGACTCTTGCTGCTTCAGTTCCCATGAGCTACCAAAGCCCAACTGATCCAGGAAAAGCACCCCCAATCTGAGGGTGATCATTGGTTTGGCAGCCCTGGTCTCTGGACGCAGCTGTTCTGGGGCGAGTCTGACAGGAGACAACATGAGCTGACTCACTCTGATCCATTTAGTGGAGAGAGGATGTTTCAGAGAAGCACGGCTGTATCTCCCAGCATGGAGAAGAGAGGAACAGGAGCCAACAATAAAGCATGATACTTTAACATTTACTGACAAAAGAAGGGTTCTCCCTAAAACACAAGCTGGCCATTGAAAATGGGTATGACTAGGGCCAGAGAGAATCTGGTGATATTTTTTGCTATTTTTGCAGAGAATTTTGTAAAACAAAACAAAAAATCAGCGGATTTATGTGGAATTGTATCATAATTAAAAACCTAATATATGAAATAATAAATACATTTAAGTAGAATAACTTCTTTGGTAAACAAGTCTTTCAAAGAAATATATACTGAAAGACAGAAAATATTTCCTTACAAACTGTAATGTGAATAAATCATACAAACATTTAAATATTACTATATTTATATCAGAATAAAATTAATAAAACGAATTTAAAAACTGAATAAATATCAATTTACACACATTTACATAAGCTAGATACCCCTGGGATCCTCCAAATTAAATTTAAGGCTTTTAAAAACCTTTTTAATACCATTTCAAATAAAATTCAATGCCAACTTTGTACCCATTTCAACAGAAGTATGAGGGAAAACGGTCAGATCTGTATACATTTTGAACCATAGAAAATAATTATGTACAAGTTTATTTCAATTATCAGTTATATTTAACAACCAAATCTACCTTCGGGTATAAATAAAGTTACCTACCTACCTACCTACCTAATACATATGCAACAGCATGGTCGAACACCCAGTAGCGAATATGAAGTTCTAATTGAAGGTCAAACATGATCACATTGGCCCTTTGACCTGTTCAGTCAGTTAGGTCCTACTCACACTATGCCATTCGTACCGTGCCCAGGCCAGTTTCCCGAATCGCTTGAGAAGCGTGAGTGCGCTGAATCGGGCTCAAGCACCGGAACCTGGCCCGGTTGGAAGAGGTGGGCCTGAGTGCGATTCACTTGGGCTTTGGCGCGGTATGCCCGAAACTGAAAGCGAGAAGTGACTTTAAGTGACTGTTTCATATGGATTTATTTATCATTCTTACTGTTCAGTGAATGCAAACTGCCGCAGTTTATTAAAGATGCAAACCCCTCACTGCACGACAGCTGCGCACCTTCAGCAGACCTCCTCATTCCTGCAGCACAAGGGCTTTATGATTGTTTATGAGTGCCAAAAGTGGCGGATCTGTTCGGCGAAATATTTGACTGCGTGTCATCGCATCCCTAAGGACTGTTTGGCGAAATATTTGACTGCATGTCACTGCATATCAAACAACTGAAACGATAAAACTAGAGAGAAATCTTTTCGGTGCTGCTGAGTGAGAGAGCGTTTCTCACTGAACAGCGCAGCAGCGATGATGTAAGCGTGCCGAGGTCCAATTGTGGAGTGAGTGCGGGCCGTCCGGGGAGACGGGAGGGGGGACAAGCGTGCTTTGGCCCGGTTCAAGGCAACTGTACCTAGTGTGAGTACGGCCTTATTTAGTTATAAAAGGAGCCAATCAGAATTTATTAATATATACAGTTTTGTTGCCTCCACACGAGAATGTAACTGCAACCTCAGAGTCAGGAAACATGGTTTTGAAAACATCTGTAATGTTCTCAAACGATATGTAAAGATGGTGCTCAGAGATTGTTTTAAGGACCCACATCATCTGTGCCTGCAGAGTTGGTGTTGAGACACAGTAAGATAGGATGTTCCTTGGCTGTGGTGGCAATGCTTCTAATGTAAACATTTCTTTGTTACTGATAGTAACTGAAAAGGTCTCCTGTGCACAAAACTGCACAATAGGTGGTTGGCGCTGATGAGCAGTACTACACGCGGTGTGTTTAGCACCCCTCATATGGGAGTGCAGGGCCATAACACCCTTCGTCACTAGTTAAAAAAAAAATTTCGGCACCAACAGCAGTAGGTGTCGCAGTCATTTCTTGGCACAGGCTTGACCCAAACGTAATTCGGAATCCTTGGCCACAGCGGATTAAACAGACACTTTCCCCAATGTAGCTGACAAACTAGGCAAGCCACTATCTTGTTCTGTACCCCGCTTGCCAAGTAACAGGTGTGCACCGCTTTCTGTTACAATGTGAAGCGCAAGGTGGACTGAATGTTACTCTGCATTAATTTTAATTAGCTTACATTAGTAACAGTTAATTAAGTTATGGTATGAATTTATTCCTAGGAAAGGTAAAACAAATTAATAAAATAAGATATTTGTAAGTAAAAACAAACTCAATGAGGAGCTAAAAATCAGCGGAAATCTGCAGATTTCTGCGTGCGCAAATTCCATGTGTGGCTAGGTATGACTTTCTTTCTTTAGCTAGAGAGAAATGAAGTTTTTGATGGAAAAAAACAAGGATTTTTTTTTCTTTTAATGCAAGTGAACAAGGCTCAAAGTATTTTCGATGGTTCAAAATATTTAGGCAGTAGCAGAAATTAAATTATATAAAACTTAATACTTTGCAAAATAGCATTTATGACTTTTTAAAACTTAATACTTCAATTTCTCTACATTGATTCATAAGCTTTTAATACTCTAAAACCCCCCGGAAACCCCGTTTAAAAATAAATAAATAAATAAAAAATATTTAACATTTAATTAATCTCTTGAAGCTCACTTTTAATGTTATTTAAGTTTTCCAGCACCAAAAGCGGTCAATTTAATATTCCATAAACATTTCCCATTGTTTCTGACATTGATTAACAAACCATTTCCGCTACTGCACATTTAAAATGAGAAATTGACCACACAATTTACATATCCAATTGCACAACTATATATAAGTGAACTAAAGAAATATATGTCCCTTTATTGGAAAACTGTTGAATATTAAACAGTTGTTGAGATGTAAATGGTCAGTGATGTGTTATTGTGCTTGTGGCTCTGACCTCAACACTGTGATGATTTGTGAATGACCTGCTTTTATAACTTCGCTTTCATGGTCTGGATGGGCTGGCGGGAGAGATTTGCTTGGTGAATGTTGAAGTGTGCTTACATCATACTCTGATTTCAAAAGAGCGGGAAAAATCCCGTTGGTCATAATACGGTCAGTTTAGTTCTGTTGGTTGAAGGGGTGTGGAAATGATTTGAGTTATTTGAAAGCTGTAACGGCCACTGAAATAACATCTTTCATTGCGATCTGTCGACTCAAAGCTTCAAAAGACTTGGAATGTAGCACGACTTGTATGAAGTCAAGCAAATGACAGCACTGTGGGAAAGTGATTCCTTTAAACTCAAAAGATGTGTGTGAATGTGGAAAACTTCCTGAGAAGTAAAAACAAAATTACTTACAGGACAGCCGTCCACCTCATAAACAACATCAAAGATCTGCTTCTGTCCTTCTGTTTTCCTTTTATCCTCATTTATGTGGCTGTGAATTTGAGAGAGAGAGAGAAATATACAGCTCTTTACCTAAAAGCCACTGTTTTAGTCAATGATTTTGGCCTTTCAACATGTTCTGGTTGCTGAAATTAGTTCTCAGCGCAACATTACTTTGTTTCAAGGATGGTTTTTATATAAGGACAATAAGGACTCACGTCATCACTTCCTTGAGAGACTCGATGGCCTTTTCAAGTGTCAATTTATCTGGGTTGTCATCTGATGTGTGTTTCTTTATATCTGCAAAGAGCAAAAATACATCCAAAAGCTTGTTTATTACTATAAGCATACACTGGCTCAACATTAATTATGAAAAACGTGTACAGGATGTGATATATTAAATTACTTTACAAACTGAATTGATCGTAAACTCTGTTTAGACCCTATGGATTCAGCTCAGTTTACTGAATAGGAACAGCTGTTTGTGTGTCTATCAGTTGCATCATGCCAAAGCCATATTATGTGGGTTACCATTCAGCAGGAGGGCGACACTTGGCAGTCTCTGCACGGGACGAATCAAAAGCTCAACGAGAGTCTGACGGCCACACTCAGGTTTAGACTGATTAATCTGAATAACAAAATGAGGCAGAAAAATGTAAATATACAGTCTTCGTTAAAATGAAAGAAACAAAGAAAGAAAGAAAGATGGAGAAAGTAAAAAGGAAAAAGACAGTAGGAAGAAAGAAATTAATGTAGAACAGAAAGAGAAAGAATGCTAGAAAGAATGAAGGAGAAATGTAGAAAAAGAAAGACAGAAATGCAAGGCAAGATTTTTTTTATATAGCACATTTCATACACAAAGGTTATTCAAAGTGCTTTACGTAAGCAAGAATAAAAGAAACAAGAAAATAAAACAAAGAATTGAAAATGATTAAAAACAAATTCAAATGTGTTAAAACAGGTTACAAAAGGATTGAAAAAGAAAATAAAGATATAATAGTGTGACCTGTTGGACAGTAGAAAGAAAGAAAGAAAGAAAGAAAGAAAGAAAGAAAGAAAGAAAGAAAGAAAGAAAGAAAGAAAGAAAGAAAGAAAGAAATAAAAGAAAAGAAAGAAAATAATGAAGAAAGAATTAAGCGAAAAAAGAAAGGAAAGAAAGAAAAGGAAAAAAGAAAGGAAAGAATTAAAAGAAAGAAAAGGAAAAGAAAAAAGAAAGAAAAGGAAAAAGGAAAGGAAAGAAGTAAAAGAAAAAAAGGAAAAGAAAAAAGAAAGAAAAGGAAAAAGGAAAGGAAAGAAGTAAAAGAAAAAAAGGAAAAGAAAAAAGAAAGAAAAGGAAAAAGGAAAGGAAAGAAGTAAAAGAAAAAAAGGAAAGAAAGAATGAAGACAGAATTAAAGAAAGTAAAAAGAAAGGAAAGAAAGAAAAAGGAAAAGAGGAAAGAAAGAAAGAAAGAAAGAAAGAAAGAAAGAAAAAAAGAAAAAGAAAGAAGGAAAGAAAGAAAGAAGGAAAGAAAGAAAGAAAGAAAGAAAGAAAGAAAGAAAGAAAAAAGGAAAGAAGGAAATAAAATAATCTTATTAGATTACAAACAACCCAACTAGTTGTTTAGCACGTGTGCATCTCTGCTGTTATGTTTACACATGTAATATTTTTACCTGATGCGATTTAAAGCAAAAAACACAACAACACTCTATCAAACATATCTACAATGATAAGAAACATGGTAACTTACAGAGTTATTATCGCACAGCAATACCACAGGAAAAAAAGTACGGACTTAGAAGGAATAATCAATGTGAGGAGAGCTCCATTATAGTGCACTGGACAAGTCTAAACAAGATCCACCCATGCATGCACGAGGCAGGCAGTTCTGTACAATTACGTTATTTATCGGCTTAAAAATATCAGCCTAATTTAAACATCAGATCGATAACGATAATTTTAAAAATAGCATTTATTTGCAGGTAATGATTTGGCCGCAGATATATCGTGTATCCCTAGTTTTTAACATAATAAGCATTATTGGCATGAATTATTATTCATTTTATCATGGTTAGCATACTCTAAGCGTAAATTAGCATGCATAACACTTGCCTAACAGGAATTACAATGTTGTTATCATGAACTGATCAATCATCAGTCAATTTTCTAGCATGTTTTAACATAAACAAGATGTTTCTAACATGAATTACCACAATTTTAACTTGATATAACATGTATTAGCCTGTTGCAGGTATTTTTTGTACAATATCCAAAACAAACCAAAGTCTAGTTGTGAGAAAGTTGAACATAAGTGGGGAAAATCAGTCCCATGCAGACAAGAAAGAAAGAAGGAAGGAAAGAAAGAAGGAAGGAAAGAAAGAAAGAAGGAAGGAAGGAAGGAAAGAAAGAAGGAAGGAAAGACAGAAGGAAAGAAAGAAAAAGTAGGGGGAAAGTAAAAGAAAGAAAAGAAAAAAGTTGAAAAGAAATAAAAGTAGAAAAGAAAAGAAAGTTAGGAAAGAAAGAATAGGGGGAAATAAATAAATAACTGTATGAAAGATAGTCTATTCAACATATCAGCTGTGTCATCTAATAGCTGTCATTTCTGACAGAAACCCATTCAAACATGACTGTTTTTGACTACATTTTAACACTCTAAAACCATCAGAAGCATGATCACCCTAAGGTTCTACCACAGACAGAAAGAAAGAAAGAAAAGAATCTCTTCATATGCACTAAAAAGAGCTGACAGTACCTTCAGGAAGGCATGAAACCTGGGCTTCTGTCTCTCGCATCTCACTATGGTCTCTTTGCTCATCTCAAAGAAGTTGACAAATGGTGGGTAGGCCTTCACCAGCTCTCCAGACTGAGAGGGAATTTGAAAAAATAAAGAGAGATCACAAAAGCTGCCATTCAGCCTTTGACTGCGTTATGAGCTGCACGCCGGAGGAGGTCGAGTTCAAAGCTTCATCGCACTCACATATTTCAGGATAATGTCTCCAACGCTCCTCTCTTCAGACCAGTTCATCACCAGCTCCTCCAGATCCGCCTGTCAAAGCACATTCATCAGCCAACACGCACAACACAGCCTTTAACTCAGCGTTTTAGAAAGGTTATTGCCTACCTTTATTCTGGTGTGCACTTCATAGATGTCTGGAATGCTGCCAAAGATGGTCTTGATCTCTTCCTGAGCCAGAATGGGGCCGCCCACCTGCCCCTCTTTCTCCAGCGGATATTTGAAGAGCTGAAAGGAGCCATGAACAAAGGAAATTAGATCAAGCCAGGATGGACTCCGATATGTTCGCTAATGGAGCAGGACTTGACGGTAAAGGTCTGCATTCCTGCGGGATCACTAAAGGAACCGATTCGATTTGGGACTAAACCTCTGATTTGCAGGCATGAGAGGGTGATATTTCGAAGAGATGTCAGGCAAAGTGCGCAGTCAGAGTTGATTGGGGTCCTAAAATAAACCCTGTGATGGCAAGACTTTAAAATGTTTTCGAAAAAGTGTTTCGTATGCTCACTAAGACTACTCGGTTTGATCAAAAATACAGTAAAAGCCACACTGTGAAGCATCATAACTATTTAAAAACGGCTTTTTAATTTTAATCGGTTTTAAAATGTAATTTATTCCTGTGATGGAAGAGCTGTGTTTTTAGATGCCACGCGATCCTTTACAAATGATTTAAAGATGATTCTTATGCCATCTCTGGAAATCTTTCTTGAATAGAAAGTTTAATAATAAACATTTATTTGAAACAGAACTCTTTAGAACATGAACCCATTTAACGTTTAGTTAAGTGAAAGTATCAATGATTCTGAATAAAAGCTTGCTAATTGAAATAAAATAAATAAATGATTGAGAAGATATGTATTAGAAACATAAGTTGATCTAAAAGTAGACAAGTATTAAACTTGACAAAAGTATGTCACGAAACACCAAACACATTTTTTGAGATGTTGACAGTCATATATATGTCCCACGTTGCTAAAAACACCATTAGGACAAATACAGTTGAAACCAGAAGGTTATATACACTGTATAAAACGACACATAACCATTTAAAAAAAAAAAAGCCGAATTTCTCCTCCGTGCTGCTGTGATGGCTGTCAGGTCAGATGTGTGTGTGTGTTTGTGCATGAGGCGCGCTCATTATAATCAATATGAATATTCTTATCAAACTGAACACAATCTTACATCAACAACACATGGCAAGCAACGCGTTGATAATAACAATATTTTTTTTAGATTACAAACAACCCAACTAGTTGTTTAGCACGTGTGCATCTCTGCTGTTATGTTTACACATGTAATATTTTTTTCCTGAGGCGATTTAAAGCAAAATACACAACAACACTCTATCAAACATATCTACAATGATAAGAAACATGGTTACTTACTGAGTTATTAGCACACAGCAATACCACAGGAAAAAAGGACGGACTTTGAAGGAATAAACAATGTGAGGAGAGATCCATTATAGTGCACTGGACAAGTCTAAACAAGTTCCACCCATGCATGCACGAGGCAGGCAGTTCTGTACAATTATGTAATTTATCGGCTTAAAAATTTCAGCCTAATTTAAACATCAGATCGATAACGATAATCTTAAAAATAGCATTTATCTGCCGGTAATGATATGGTCACCGATATATTGTGCATGCCTAGTTTTTAACATAAGCATTATTGGACTGAATTATTATTCATTTTATCATGGTTAGCATACTCTAAGCGTAAATTAGCATGCGTAACACTTGCCTAACAGGAATTACAAAGTTGTTATCATGAACTGACCAATTATCAGTCAATTTTCTAGCATGTTTTAACATAAACAAGATGTTTCTAACATGAATTACAACAATGCTAACTTGATTTAACATGTATTAGCCTGTTGCTGGTATTTTTTGTAGAATATCCAAAACAAACCAAAGTCTAGTTGTGAGAAAGTTGAGCATAAGTGGGGAAAATCAGTCCCATGCAGACCTCTGCATGACAGCTACTCCATAAACTTAATGAAGATCCACTGGACCACAATGGAAAGGTCAAGCTATTCAGCTTTGCCTGATGATCTGACTCCACTGTTCAGTGAAATTTGCTTGGTTCTGATTGCGGGCATATGATGTGACATTTACTATGCAAGCAGACAAAAAGTGTGTGCGCGCGTGTTTGTATGAGCTCAATATGAAGGGGGTGTGAGGCAGAACTGAAATGTCCAAGGCATTGGTGTCCAAATCTAATTCATTTTCCCCCCAACTGGTCAGAGGCACTGGTTTAGTTTGATAAGGCCAGAGCCAGGTACTGTGGTTTGCCACTTGCTATGTGTGTGTGTGTGTGTGTGTGTGTGTGTGTGTGTGTGCGTGCGTGCGTGCGTGCGTGCGTGCGCGTGCGCGCAAGACGGAAAAAGAACACTCAAGGCACACAGAACACAGACCTGCAGGACCGTGGCCAAGATATCAACGTAGTTGCTCTCGGTTTGGTAGAGCTCTTTAGAGACCTGCCATCGCGCTGACTGCTTGGGAAGGGCAGGAGTTGAGCTTTTGGGGATTTTGGCATTCTCTGAAACACATTAGCAGACATGCAGGGGTGAGCCGCAATAAATCACACACTGTTACTTATACATTTCATACCTTGTGTCAAAAAAAGTCAACGAATAAAGCAGTGCCAAAATGTTTAAGGTTTTAAAGATGGAGAAAGGATGAGAGTGCTTAAAGCAATGATCCAAATTTAATACAAATGAAATTTAATAAAGTTAAAATTGTATTAACTGCATCAGGTATCTGATTAATGCTCAATTGGATATTACAAGCATTTAATTAAAACAATAGAATTGTATAATAAAATATTTTATTATAATATTTATATTACTAAAAATTAATATCCTTAGCATTTATTTGCAGAAAACTACAATAAAAAAATGAATCTTTAAAATCCACAAACATTTGAAAAACCTGTGTATGCAACGTATGCATTTTTGCCAACACTTGAGGTCTAAATGCATACTTGCATGCAGAATTTCAACATTTATAACAACCTACTAAACATCCTAATAAATTAAAATACTCATACATAAGTTTGAAGTTGTACTGAACATGAAAACATTTATAAATCAAGGCACTTAGTCAAAAGTAATATCCATCCATCCATCCATCCATCCATCATAATGTTACTGGCAATGTGTGAAATCTGGATTCTATAGAATGTCTAGGAAATATATAGAATGCCTAAAATCAAACCAAGTATTAAATGATTGCTACTTTATACATTGCTTAGACATTCTATAGAATGGCGAGTTGCCATGCGGCAAAAAATATAAATGAACTACCCCTGTCATTTTTCCCGCCACTGATGTTATTTGATGATCGCAATCGAAGCATGTGCGTGTTGAACATTGTAAGACAGTGTATTGCCAGTATGATGTTCCACTACCACATCACGGATATTAATATTGTCATAATTCTTCTCATGAAATCTGTGCAAATCAAACGAACATTCTATTCTTCCCTGCTGCAAAAAGTAGCTCATTCCTGTTGCGTTCGGTTTTTTTCCACCAGTAGCAGCATATTGTCTATTTTAATTAGTAATTCTTCACTAATACGTTAAATATGAATGTGCAAGACAAATGTGCCAAAATATGAAGTGTTTTGTCTGAAAGAAGAAAATTACGTACACTTCTAAATGCCATGTCACCCTGCAGCCCAAGACCGGTTACTCACTGAAGCTAAGCAGGGCTGAGCCTGGTCAGTACCTGGATGGGAGACCACTAAGGAACACTAGGTTGCTGTTGGAAGTGGTGTTAGTGAGGCCAGCAGGGGGCGCTCAACCTGTGGTCTGTGTGAGTCCTAATGCCCCAGTAAAAGTGAAGGGGACACTACACTGTCAGTGGGCGCCGTCTTTCGGATGAGACGTTAAACCGAGGTCCTGACTCTCTGTGGTCATTAAAAATCCCATGGCACTTCTCGTGAAAGAGCAGGGGTGTAACACCGGTGTCCTGGCCAAAGTGCCTCTATCGGCCCTTATGATCATGGCCTCCCAATCATCCCCTTCCACCGAATTGGCTTGATCACTGTCTCTCCACTCCACCAATAGCTGGTGTGTGGTGAGCGCACTGGCGCCGTTGTCCTGTGGCTGCCGTTGCATCATCCAAGTGGATGCTGCACACTGGTGGTGGTGAGGAGAAACCCCCTTCATGATTGTAAAGCGCTGTGGGTGTATGGCCATACACAATAAATGCGCTATATGAATACACATTACATTACATTTCAGTTTTAACTACTGTGACAAAAACTTCAATCTCAGTTCTGCTGTCAATGTGTTTTTTTTCTCAGTAAAAACATATGGTTTATTTCGTACTCCTTCCACTTTAAAATACGTAAATGATCAATAAAGGCTTTTGTTGTACTCGTTTGACACTTTGCCTAAATGATACTTGTCACTCTATATATTGCCTAGGAATTGTGTAGAATGCCTTGAAAAAGTGTGCAAAATCTTTACTAAAAAAATAAACTGTTATTTCATACTTTGCCTAAAAAAAAAAAATCAGGCATTCTGTACATTTCATAGCCATTCTATTCAATACGGAGATTTCACACGTTGTCGGTCAAATATGCACCCAAAATAAATACAGAATTTTACATTGATTTGTACTTAAACTGTAAATGGTTTTATAAAAGGCCATTAATTCCAAAACAATAAAAAAAATTATGAAAAAGAACAATAATTTTGAATGAATTTTCTTTGATTATCATGATTATGACAAGACCATAACTTGTACTGAACCTGTACCATTTCTATAACAGAACAGGGATTTAAAAAAATGTAACCACAAGTATTAGAATAATAGACAAACTTACTCGATTCAATCACTTTTTCTATGAGATCTATTCTAAACCCTTGTCTACAGTTCTGTGAATGTCACCTGTCTGGTCCTCGTGTCTGCACACAGGAGTGCTGGTGCGCTGCAGTCTCTCTGATCTACTCTGTCTGCTGCTCCTCCGCCTACCGCTGCTTCTTCTGCACCTGCGCTCTGCAAAAACACAGCGGCCTGGCTCATCTAACACATTCTCCTGCTTCGTCTTAGGCCTGCCTGGGGTCACCCTGGACCTCTGAGATCAAAGTCTGGAGAGTTCTGAAACCCTCTCCAGAGGATCTGCATGTTTCACCAAGTCACATTTTTGAATTTGTAAGAACATAGTTAATGAAATGTAAAAGCTATACCACAATGCTGGTTTTATTTGTGGTTACAATACATCTGATTATATTTGGAAAAGTGAAAGAGTATTTTTTATGATTAGAAATGACATTATTAGTAATTCAAAACCGCTTTTAGTTTTTAGCCTTCTAGTTTTAAACTTTTTAGAGCCATCATGTCCAAGATTTTCTAATTAAAATTAAGCAGTTACATTTACAAAACCGAGCCTAATAAAGCACAAACAAGAATGTTTAGAAAGTGTGGTTTCTCAAGGGGTTCCAATACTTTATGGGTGTCTTTCTTCTGTTGAACACGAAGCCAGACACTGAAGAAAGTTTAAAACCTAAGACCATTGTCTTTCATAGTAGGAAATACAAACAACCAAGTCAATGGTTATAGGTTTCCTGCTTACTTCTAAATATCTTCTTTTGTGATCAACAGAATAAAGTCTAAACAAGTTTGGAACAAGGTTTAGTAAATGACACAATTTTTAGTTTTGGGTGTACTTACCCTTTTGACAATTGTTACTTTCTTAATGCCCTGCAGAAAACCTACCACAATTTGCAAACGGGACCTGGTGAACTTCTCAAAAATAAATCTGTTTGTTTACCCATGGAAGACAGAGGGAGTGTTATATTATTTGGTTTAGTCACATGTTATATGACTAATTCTACCTCCACTGGATTTGGTGTCTGGAGTGTTAGAGATGTCCAGCAGGGAGCCCATGGAGAGTGAGTGTTCAGCCGAGGGTCTCTTGCGTGGCGGGAAGGGAGAAATCTCCGTCTCTTTGGTAAGCTGAGCCAATGTCTCTCGGAGACGCCGTCGTTTTCTGCCACTGTTGGGCGTCGTGAGAGACAGCAGAGACACAGCTTTCTTCATGGCAGGACTTTCCGGCTGAAAATAACACAGGTTGAAAACAGAGATTATTGTCATGTAGAACTGTAAATTCAACAGTTCTTTGTTAATAAATAATGGAAAGCCGTTTTAAAATTCAGTTCCAATTTTAATCACACATTATTAGCAAACAGGAACACAAACATGTTTTAGCACTTCCAGTTTTATCAACCTTAAGAGATAATGGGCATTTTGAATTAATGACTGAAATAAAATGTGCAGTTAACACAAGCTTAAGATATTTGCATGGTTTATTCCACAGCATTTGTCCTCTTGTATATGCATGCTTCTTCTTTTAATATCTCCACATCAATATTTTCTAGTTCAAAGAGACAGTGAACTATTGCAAATATTCTCCTATTTGAAAATGATATAGAAGTTAAACTTTTAAAGTAACTAGCTATGTTTCCATCCAAAGATGAGAATTAAATTTATGCATAAAACTGTAATATCGCATAAAAGACGTGTGAACAATGCAGCATTTTTATCCATTGAGTTTAAAATAGTCATTGTCTTATGAACTGACGCAATATCAAAAGAAAAAAAAAAAACTGAATTTACTGTGATAGGAGAAGCTATGTGAAACTTTTCTTTATTTACCCATACCTCTCTAAGTGATGGGTAATGCCAATAAATTGTGGAGAACAAATATAATCATTTAATTAATATGCAAAATACGATGGGACCATCGCAAATGGCCCACCTTTACAGGTACTCTGCCCTGCACCAACTGTGGGCCAGTGGCATAATTTCCCCATCCTTTCTTCCTTCAGCACTAGTTAGAGATATACTTTATAAAAGGGTTGGTGGTAACAGCCGGTCATCAGATGGGCACCCCCCTTTCCTTGGTGTTTTCCTTGCCGATTTAAGCCCATGACATCTTGGGAGGGCTTGAAATCAGATCCAGCATCCTGTATCTACTCCTGCTAACCACCACCCAACTCTATGATACGGTTTGTCTTTTAACAGGCTTTTCAACCGAACCTCCCTTTGTAGCCAAATCTAGCAAGATGTTGCTTTCTTACCAGCCGTTTCCTGGCCATTCCTTCAATTCCCAGCAGTAAGAGGGCTCTCCAGAGTGACTGCCCCGCAAACCCCCTACAACCCACCTCTACTAGTAAATTCCAGGTGCTCCATCCATTCTCCTGGCTCTCAAGTATAAGACTATGCTATTTCTTGAGCTTGCGTCCATGGGCCTACTCCATTCTTTCATCCCAGTATATTCTAAGTTCTATAAGCACCACTAATTAATTAAATTTTTTTAAGCACCTGAAACAAAACTGAGTACTGATTTCAACAAAATCAAATCACTTCAGAGCTCATAGTGCACTGGGGAAAGTGTTATATGCTATACAAGCAAAAAACAAACAAATGCCGGTAATTTCAGAACTGTAATTTTCCAAGTTTGCTTACCTTTTCATAAGAGTACATCGATTCACCTGCTCGGGCATCCATTTGTATACTGCCCCAAAACCACTGCAGAAAGAACAATTCATTAAGGATTACACAAAGCCAAATTGCACTGATTACAGTTAAAATTTTCATTATCGTCTTTAAATAACTACACATGCATTTATGATTGCAAGTGAACTATAAACACCCCTGATGAGTGCCAAAAACGACTTCCCACTTCTTACAACACAGCAGATAACAGACAGGAAGCAGTGTAAAATAAGTGTATTTTTATCCACTATTATTGAGGACTCGGAAGCACACTTTAAGTCAAGTTCATACCTCCTGCTTCACTACATAGAGTCTTTTTGAGGGAGTAAAGGGCAGTTCTTTAATGGAGTTCTCCTCAACAACCAAGTGGGTGCACCTTTCATCGCCAACCGCCTGGAAGCGTCCACCTGGACAAAACAAGCAGGACGTGCTTTAGAAAACCCCCTCCGGCAGGAGTCAGGGTTCATTTGCTTTTACAGAGAAGGGGCTGGCAATAAAATACAGAAGTATATCCCGCGGTCAGATGCATCCGAGTAAAAGCTTTTGGTTAATCGAGAATTATTTGAGCAGAGATTGTGTGACATTTTGTCAAATGTTTCATATGCCGTTTCAGAAAGGACACTGATGCATTAGAGTTCAGTACCATGTTTCTGCGTCCTCTCCTCCATGTTGTTTTTTTCTTCCTCAGAGAAGCCCAGGAAGCTTAGGACACAGTCCTGGAATGGAGGAACTTTAAACTCTGTGCGGAACAGCTCGTTGCCTGCGTGAAAATTACTATAGCCAAAAAAAAAAGAGAAAGAAAATATTTGTTAAAAAGCTTAAAAAGCTTTAAAAAATAAGCAATAGAATGTTGAGACTTTTAGAAGTCACAATTAAATATAAAAGCAAATTATGTTGCTTGTTAGTGTTATAACAATTTTACAATACTACAAAAAATGGTATACAGAAAAAAATACTATAGCATTAAAGTTTAATGTTTACTTTGCTGTTGTCATCTTTCCTGTGGACAGCACAATACATGTGAATTTGTTGACTACAAGCTGACAAAACTGGCAAATGCAGAAATCTAATTTGGACATTGTGGACATTCACCGAACTGGTAAAGTACCGTGCGTTATCAAGTGTAACTCTGCCTTGCTGTATATTGATTCTTGTTTGGGCTCATGTGTTATCACTTTCTCTCTTTGCTGGCTCTGCCAATGCCATTGATTTTAAGACTTTTACATTAGATATCATCCTCTAGTTAGCTGTTTGCCAACTCAATGAGCAAAATAAGTGACATGTACTGTTGAGCACATTACACTTTTGCTCACAATCATTTAAATGTCTATGGACATTGCAAGCAGGACAATTAATCTAGTTAAGGGTTGTTCCTTCACTGAAGATATTTTCACTATTTTAAGCTACATTAAAACACATACTGTTACAATAAAGTCAATATTTGCACATTCCAAAAAAACTGATGAATTTATGAGCTTAATAGGATGAGGACCGGATAATAGTGTACATTTCATATCAGAAAGAACCTGGACATGCAAGTCAAAAGTTAAAGTTTTTTTTTTCTTAGTGGTTTACCATAATTATGCCATTTATGGGTTTCTCGCACACAAGTTTGAACATTTAAGACATAAGGTGTTTTGCTTGTGCGATATGGGAAGAAAAAAAATTCACAAAAGTTTCCGATATATTTGATGAACTGTTTAGTTATCAATTGATACACAGAATGTGCGGCATTTCTTTTTGACTTGTTAACTAACATTAGCTCTTTACTGTCAAACCCAGTATTATAAAGCTCGTTTGTACATCTAGTACTTGTTATTAATAAACCAACTAATTTAATAACAATAATAATAATAAATAGGGTAACACTTTATAATAACTACACACATTTATTAAGCATTAGCATCTAGTGAATTCATTATTTGTTAAGCATTAACTCTACATAAAAAAAAAATGTTAGTAAGCAGTTTATAACTGCAGCTACAAATGCAAAATGTACTGCATTATTTACAAATCATTTTTATTTAAGAGTAGATGGAGGTTTTTATGATTATTCAAAATGAATTAGTAAATGATTAATAAACTATTAAAATTAACATTTATACATCTTATTATTTAGACATGGAGTAATGGTTACGATGTATGTTGATAAATGCTTTATTAACTCAACTTCATGCAGTTTTGTGACCTAATCTAAAGTGAGGACTATCTGTGCTTTATAAATCCCTTATAAATTATAATTAAAGGCTTGGTATTAAATGAACAATAATATTTTCAATCTTATCTAAAAAGTAAAATTACTGTAAAGTTTAAACATTGCCGAATAACAGGAGACATAAAATTGGATAAAACAACAACAATATAATAATAACAATATAATAGGATCCAATGTTTAAACTGCACAGTAATTTTAAGTTTGTAAAGATTTCTTTTTCATTTGATACAGCTTCATTTGTGTATCTTCAAACAAATAGAAATGAATAAGGTTGTTTGTTTATTTTTGTTTCTGTTTAGACTAACTAAGCTTTTAATTGTAATTTATAAAGGGATTTATAAAGCATAGATAGTCCTCACTTTAGATTATGTCACAAAAATTGATAAAGTTGAGTTAAAGCATTTCTGAATATGCAAATTTGTTTTTAGTAAAAGCCTGAATAATAAGAATAATAATAAGAATTATATGTTAATTTGAATAGTTCATTAATCATTTACTTATTCTGAATGATCTTAACCACCAACTATGCTTGAATAACTGGTTTGTAAATAATAAAATTCTTAATTTAGTGATAAAAAATAAATCAAAGTATGAAAGAACAATTATTCAGCACATTATAGATGCATTTATAAGTCAAGAATAGAGTATTTGTAGCAGCAGTTATAAACTGCTTCCTAACGTTTATTAATGTAAAGTTAATGCTTAACAAATAATGAATTCACTAGATGCTAATCCTTAATAAATGGTTCATAGTGTGTATTTTTAAAAAATTGTTACCATAAAGACTACTAAAAACAATTAAAATAATAATAATTATTATTGTTAATATTATTATTATTATTAGAAAGCAAATATAAAAAATATATTTAGTGATGTTTAATTTTAGATTTTAGTGGATTTAGGTCATTTAATTAAAATGATTGTAATAAAACAGGATTTTACTTTTAAGTCTTAGTGGCCTCATACAAGTTTACTGAGCCCGCTCGTTTAAATTCCCTTGCATAAAAACCATTACTAAATAGATATATGGCTTTTGATTACTTACACTAACTACATGCCTGTGCAACCAAGATGACATCCAAAAGAAAAAAGTCATTTCAGAAAACAAATTACATTCTGATGAAAGACAAGGTTTTCCTCCTACTGAATGACGTGCACTGACATAAACCCGCATAAAATAAGGCCACAAACATGTAGGCAGACAGTACAAGGTCAATTTTGATTTCATATTGACTTTAAGTCTGTCTGTATTAAGTCTCATGGACACAGTGGGCATGCTATGAAGAAAGAAAAAATGAATTTTTTTTAGTCAACACCCAGCCTAGAGTGACAGGTCATTAATGTGAAAGGTCAGGTTCATTGTTTAATACATGTGTGTAAAATGTCAAAACCTGAGAACAGTGGAAAGCACTTTTAATATGGAAGCTGGGAGAGTGCGTGGTTGGTGCACAAGTGGAAGCACTTCTTGGCCTCATCATTCACTTTTTTACTCCTCTAGACTCGCACACTGTGGAGGATTGACATCTAACACACATACGGGGCTCTATTTTAATGATCCAAGCGCAAAGTCTAAAGCGCATGGTGCGAAAGCATTAAGGAAATCCACTTTTGCTAATTTAAGGATGGAATTATACGCTCTGCACCCTGGCACATGGTGTTACAGTGTTGAGCTTATTTTCTTTATGAGTTATGGGTGTGTTTTGAGCAAAATGTGCATTAAACCAGAGTCTCATCTCACATTCCCTTTAAGAGTCAGTTGTGTCCCACTATGGTGCATTTGCTATTTACATGGCACTTTGTAAGTGGAAAAACAAACGGACCATCTGCAGCGCGAGGATAAAGAATGAGTCTCCTCCAATCGGCCTTTTTACTTTCTCCTTACATTGCTCCTCTACTTTAATTGATAAGGAAACGGTGTTGTATGCACTCCACTGAGAACATCCATAAGCCTACTTATTTAATTTAGTTTAACAAAGATTTGTTTCAAAACTATTTCGAAATTCAGTTCTAATATCCCCGCAAACTAACAAATGAACAATAATAATGAAGTTTGGTCAAAAATATCCAATTGAGTTATATCCAAACACACATTTTTGGTTTGGTTTTAGTTGGTCAATGGCGCGATCCATTTCAGTTCCTCAAAATAGCAATGTGTCAACAATGCGCCTTAACACACCTCCTTTTTAGACCAACACACCAATGAGTCAACAAAATATTTAAACAATGTGGTGCAAAACGTGAAAATTCGGGTTGCACTGGTCTGAAAAGAGCATCAAATCGCATCAAACACGTCTTGCACCTTATTACATCGGGTGTATGATAGATCCCACAATCTTACATGTCATCTCTGTGCTCCCATGCCTTGCGTATCCAGTCAGGGGTGAGGATGGGTGTGCCCATACACACTGCCAACTGAAAAGAAAAACAGAGAAAGAAGAAGTGAATACCATCAGGAGGAAAGAGATCCCCACACCAAAACCTGCTCGTTGCATTATGCATGAGACTGATGAATGATTCAGCCCAATTCAGCGTGCTGTGAGGAGAGATACATGAGAACTGTTTTAATCAAACCCTTTCTAAATAACACAGACCCGTCAACAGTCGACAGCAGACCCCTGTTACGGAGAGCACACCTGGGGTTTGAGGAAAAATAGCCATCACTGAACAGTAAGACAGTTATCGAGTGTCTTGAATTTTAAGAAATTAAGGGTGCACAATATATTGTTTTAGTATCCAAGCGGTTGACAGATGTGCATGCAAATAGTGCACTATTTTTAGATGAACAGGCAGACAGACAGACAGACAGACAGATAGATAGCAAAATTAAAGCACTATTTGAGCGCACCTCTGTACTTCCGTGTAAAGGCAAAAGACTATAACTTAATTTTTGACAAAAAATTAATTAAGGATGTTTTTGGGAAAATAAAGACCTCCTTTATCATGTGGATAAGTATCTTGAGTCAATATCATCATTTTTTTTAAAGAAAATAAAGTCTTGTCTTAACAATAACTTCCAAAAGCCCAATCCAAACCAAGGTAGAACACTGTTAAAACCTGAGTTACCACTCTTTGACTTGGTTTTGGTTCAAAAGTTGCAATATTCTGCCTTTTTTATGACGTTTTACTGTCATACTAAAGGGTTACTGCAGATTCCATAATGTCAAATTTAAGAATTTTTCACTTGGGTTTATATTTCAAAACTAAAGCTTGAGTAAACATCTGTACTTATTCTACACAGGCTTTGTTCAATATAATAATTTTATATGTGAAATATAGTAAGTTACTAAGGTGTTTGAAAAACTCACCAGCAGTGTATCTATTTTATTTATCTTTACAAATACTTGATTCAGATATTTACATCATGGTAATTGTGGCTAAAAGAATTCACAATATCGATATATAAACAAAAGAACAAACAATCTAAATAAAGTGAACTAAGAAAATTGACTGATTGATTTTGTTTTTCCGATATGTTGCAATATCCTTGGAGAAAAGTAAGGCAGCGTGATTTAAAACAAAAATCTCTATTATTTGAACATTCTAATTCGATTATGATTAATGAATGATTGTTTTATTAGTAAATGGGGTCTAGCGACGCCCCTGGGTAGAGGCCTTCACAGCAATTTTCTTCTTACATTATATAACAATTGAACATATCTGTTTTCAATATCTAATCCTTCATATGTTGTTGTTTATTTTAAAAATGTTTTGGTTCAGAAACATTATTGCATTTTCTATTCTAAAAATTGTATTTATTTTACAATAGTAAAGGTAATATCTATACTCTGCATATAATATTTGCATTTATATACATGCATAACACAAATAAAGTAAAAAAAATACGTATTTTGATCTGATATTTTTGTCCTGTTCTAAGAACATTTCAAATGCATCTACATTTACAATCTTCATTTTGCACATTTTTATTCATCCCTCACATTCTCCTATAGACCATACAGCCAAGTACTGACTCATCGTTACACAAGTTATACTATTATTTGATCCATCGCAGCAATCATAGATCATGCTATTATAACAGAGTTAGTCAGAACCAAACAAAGGATTTCACAACTGAAAATCTTTTGATTCCCCAATGATCCACTACACGCAGTATTCAGTGGAGCTGAACAATGGCATGTATGTGTGAATGAGATAGATACAGACCCTGTACTTTTCACCATGTGTTGAGCGGGCGATGAGGTGCGTGACTTTAGCACTGTCAAAGTCTTTTCTGATGGTGCCGCCCATGTGATGGACAAGATTAACCAAAGCAACCTGCACAGAAATAAACTCGTTAATTGGAGCAAAAACCCCAATAGTGACTCTATTAGTGGTTATGAATCAAATGAGCAAATGTACAGAACTCACCACTTCATCTTTTTTACGAAAACCAGTGAAGCAGAGGGACAAGTTGAGCATGGTCATCGAGTAGAGTGGCCTGGAGGAGAACGGTAGAGGCTACAGAACAGAACAAGGAGAATAAAGCATATATTGTTAATATGCATCAAATAAGGAGCGTTATTCAAAGTACGCACACTGAAAAATGAGCTGAAAAATACAGTTTGGAAATAATAAAACAAAAAATAAAATAATAAAAATTCGAGGTATACCGAAATGCAGAGCATGACATTCGCAAACAAAGATTTAGACGTACAGTTGAAGTCAAAATTATTAGCCCCCCCCTGAGAATACTGTCATCATGGCAAAAATAAAAGAAATCAGTTCTTAGATATGAGTTTTTAAAAATATTATGTTTAGAAATGGATTAAAAATTCTTATTTCCTCTAAAACTAAACTGGGGAAACGATATACAGAAGGCTAATAATTCAGGAGGACAAATATTTCAACTGTATTGCGTATAGACTTTTTTCTTAAAATGCAAAATTACCCATTATGCTTTGCGTGTATGCGCAAGGAGAATGCTAAGAACTTCCGGTCGGCAGCTGATGCATGTAAATGGTAACATTTGGACCGCGTTTAAATGATAGTTTTAATCTATTTTATTCACTTTAATCATCTTTGAACTAATCCTGCTGTCCATCAGCACCATCTAATGGACTGATCATTTTAAAAAATTCGATCTAAGGAGATCGTAAACAACTACTGCGAGGCATTTTCCCATTGTTGTCAGACAGCATCTTGTGGCGTTTAAATGAAGCCTAGACACCGCGAAAGTCAACATTTCTCTTTCTTTCCAATATACAACCAGCCCAAAAAAATGTTATTCAACTAAATGTTTGACACACACGTAGCCTGTACTATCCCACTAACATCCTGATTTAATAACTGTGACAAAGTAAAAATAAACCCTAGTGTCACTTTGAATTGACAGAAAAACACAAACTGTGGTAAATCCTACACACTAAATGAAACATAAACGGCTCGCGATTAAAATGAACTGCAAATCAGCCAGCAGAGTATCAGTAACAGACTTTTAATGGTCATATTTGTAAATTGCGCGACTTGCATAACGTTACCAGTTAAGTTTCATGCCAGTAATCTGGTTTGCTCTATAATGCAGTTAAGTATTGCGTGCATGTGTGTTGAAGAGCCGCTGAGCTAACAGTTGACAGGCCGGGAAAACTCACGCACGCACAGTATTTCTGACGGCAGATACGTGAACTAGGAGAACGTTTTTCTCAATAGTACAGCTAAACAAAATACATATAAGGAGTAAATGGGAAAAATACACATTTACACTATTTTTGAACATTGTCCAAACAAATGGATATTTACACAATATTCATATCAAATCATGTCACCACTGTAAGCTTGATGAATGGCAGTAGTGGGTAAAGATGTGCCAGACCACCATACTGCTGCTGCCAGGGGCTTCAGGCACCGATTTTTTACTTGGCATAGCAAGTAAAACACACAGAAATAAGCTTTCTATGACTTTACGACTGCAAATCATTGCATTATGTTTTACATCACAATCATAAACAATGTTACATCAAACTTTTGTATTTGACACTCCCTAAATTTGCAATACTGACTGTACAAAATCTTTCCAGTTGATTAATCTTGTGTAATCAAAATGGCAAAAAGGTCAATAAACACCACACAAACACGCGCCAATGAGCGAGGGGTCACAAGTTAACTATATCATAACAACATTTTGCCCCAATATTGATTTAACACAACAACAGTAATATTCGCAAGAAAACCATCTGTTATATCATTATATTCACATCAAAAAGAGTAATAAAGATGTATTTCCTTTATTAACAGTATGCATTTTAGAGTATTGCAACAATGTACAGCAAGTGCACCTTTAAACAAGCTTGAAAACGCGACTAAAAAGGTCACATCTCGAAATCGGTCACAGCAGCATCTTAACTTTGTACAAATTAGAACTTAATTAAATCTCATTTAAATCTGTCAAATTAGCAATTTATTGCGAGTTTTCTGTAAACTTAAGACACTTATTACAACATGGCCATCATATTTAGTCAACATTTTTTCCCTGGTTTATTTTAAAAGTGAACTGTGGTAAAAAGAAATTACATTAAAAAAAAAAAAAAACCTGTCAAACTAGCCATTTATTTCTTTTACTTTTACACTTACTACTTGGTCAACATATTTATGTAAACAGAAGCATTTTATGCTTAGCCTTGGTCTATTTTTTGATACAAAATCATGTACACCTACTAGATTCCTATTTTTCTTTAAGAACAATAACTGATTAGCATGTTCAGAGAGATTATCAGACTCTTCTGAGCAGTTAAGATGTTTTCAGTAGTTGAGAAGGCCCAATGCCCCAATCTCACCCCCTCCTCCTCATGTGAAGCTTCTTTAGCTTAAAGGCATAGGGCTAAGGGGAAGGGTTAGATATCCTTTCGAACAGGGATTTTTCAGGACCACCCTTGAAACCAAGGGGTAAGAAAATTTTACAGAATATACCAGCTACAACGGCAGCACACAGGCTGGGAATGAGCACACAGTGTCTGCTATAATGTTGCTTTTGTGCGTTTACATAGATGAATATGGCCACTGCGTAAATGCACAGTACAGTTACCATCTTATTGCCACATTATATCGTTTGATAACATAATATATGCCTTCAATGATTTCCTGAAGATAAATACCAAAAATAACACAACTGGAATAACTACAGCAGTCGCCATCAACTGATCTTATTTGAAGCAAGAGATTGCTATGACATACGATACCGTGTGCGGGTGCTGTAGTGCTGTCCCATTTCTTAGGCAGGGCTCGAAATTAACTTTTTTACTTGGTAGCACCGGTGCTCCCAACTTCAAATATTTAGGAGCACCAAAAAATTTTTAGGAGCACCAGGAAAAATTTAGGAGCACCCACCAAAAATGATTGAGCACCTATGCAAATTGTTTTTAAGGGATTTATTGTATTTTAAAACAACATTAATAGGACTGACAAAAAACAGAAACAACTATCTAACTAATGCTGCGAAGACATTGATATTTGTGTGCAATAATTCCAAAATGAATGTCTAATAATTAGGCTATAGAATATTAGTGATGATGAAAATGACAATAATAGTAACAATGAATTACATTTCTCATTATGATACTGTCTTGAATGTGCATGAATGTAGGTTATCTGCAATTAAAAGTCTGTTACTTTATGAAAAATAATTGTATAGTTTGCATCAAACAAAAATGAAGCATTGCAGTAAGAAATATTTATTTTGTACTGCTGTTTTTATATGCATGTCAATTTAATAAATAATATTTCTGCTACAAAACAAACAAAAGATTATAATAAATCATTCAATTCAATAATAAAAGCTGCAAAACAGTCATCAGTAAATAAATAAAAAAATAATATACACCTCAAAAAAGAATAGACAAAAGAAAGTAAGTAAAGTCTCACTTCTATCACTCTTTAAAAGTTTTGGTTTCAGTTTGTGTCAATTTAAAGGTTCAGTCTGAGATTTTTCTGTGTTAGTGGAAAAGCTGGCGAGTCAGCCGACCCAATTAATGAGTAGGCAGCGCAAGATTCTTGCGCTAACCATCGGCACAAAACCGGTCTTTGTTATGAGCTGCAGTTTCAGTGTAAACTTAGTAGAGGCGAGCTTCTTTGGCGATGATATGTACAGTATTAGATTTGACTTTTAGCAGACATTTGCGCTGAACACGCAGTGAATGCAACGCATGGATATTCGGGCGCCTTCTCCAAGAAGCGCGTACTCGATTGATCTCAGCTGGCGGATCATTATTCACCACGTGACGTGTCATGATCGCTCTTATTTTGCACCTGGTGGGGTTTGCAAACCTGTGTGCTTTAAGTTTTCACTCTTCAGCCGTTTGCATTTCCCGTGGTCATAAAAGCTCCTTCCCTGTCATCTGACAGCGGAAAGCCTTGAGTGATAGACAGCTAATATGAACCAACATAGCGGCAGGGAAGAGCGATTCAGCACGTTTTTACAAAAAATCAAAAAAGGTCGCACTACAACCATTATCTGCAGTCGCACTAATGCGACTAAATATATTATAAGGTCGCATAGATTAATTTTCGGGCACATATGCGACCAAAATGGTCGCAATTTCGAGCCCTGTTAGGGGTAAATTTTGAAGCCCTTCCCCTTCACACTCTGTTTTAAGGGGCAAAGGGTAGGGGTATCCAAAAACAGTACACAAGTGACTTGAAAACCAGATGATCCACTTTATAGAACAATCAAGCAAATTGATAGTAGGGAGAAACTCGTGGAAGCTTCGGTAGAGGAAGGATGTGCAAAACACAAATACACAAATAGCTTGGATTGAAGAGGGAACCCATATGCCAGAGATTTCCACTATTTCAAGGGATCATGTTGTCAGTGATTAAAATAATATCTTACTGCTCAGACATTCACGAACATGTCCATTCGGGTGAAAACAAACTCAGCCAATAGCAACAGATGTCAAGAGGGGTAACACGCTGATCCAACAAACTCTGACAGACTTGTTTGTTGCCGTTTGTCTGTGCGGTGTGAACTGGCCTTAAAAGGGAGGATGTAGAACAGATCTGACAATATCTATAATTTAAAATCAGCTTGCTCAAAAAGGGCAAAACAGTGAGCATGTGCCTCAGTTTGAATGTCAATGACGGTTGAACTCTAAAAACACTAGTTGTGTTGTTATTTGGGGCACATTTACTATGTCAGTTCAGGTGTTTAGTCTTAGGGTGCTTTCACAACTACGAATCAATTCAGTTGTTCCAAAACAGGGATTAAAATTGTTATTTTAATTGTTATTTATTATTGACAGCATTATTAGACCATTTGTTTTCACTGGCAAAATGAGACATTTGTCATTATCAGATTCTTTCTTGAACTACATTTCCATTATATATAGGCTAGGGTTGTTATACTGACACAGTAAACATTTATTTTCATGCACAACACTTTGTGTTCGCTATGAAGGAAAAAACATATCAAATGCTAGTCGTAATCATAACTCTAATATCAAATGCTTGTCGTAATTATAACTCTAAAA